TTAATAAATAAAACGTGTTGTAACTTTTCTTTTACCACATACTAGTAATGCTATCAAAATTACTAATATTCCCTTAACCACTCTTGGTAAGCTTGTGTTAGGAGTAGTGCACGACATTAGGAATGGTGGATTCGAACCCACGACCTTTTGAGTACGCGGTCCGCACCCTGCCATTAGGCGACTGTCGCTTCAACTGACTACAAACATACCTCATCTGAGCATAGTCTACCTCTAATTATAGAGAAAAGAGCAAAGTAGTTCAAGGGTAGGGATTTAAGTGTGAATCATGCGAGGAACATGGTGCCTTTGGTGCTGGCACCAATAAAAATTGACTAGTCATTTCATTCGCTCATTCATTACAGCTCTTCATAAATCCACTGCTGAACATAGGCCTCCCACAAGGAATGCCACAAAGCACGGTTCCGAGCCACCTGCATCCACCGACTTCCTGCATGTCTTATTGTCAGGTTGTCACTCCCATCTATTAGAGGGCCGCCCAACACTTCTACCGGTACGAGGCTTCCACTAGAGGCCTTTTTTCCCCATCAGTTGTCGGTTTTTCTAACTATATGACCGGCCCATTGTCACTTCAGCTTACTAATCCGTTGGGCTATGTCGGTCACTGGTTCTACTGTGAATATCCTCATTTTTAAGTCTATCCCGCAGAGAAACTACGCGCATAGTTCTCTCCATAGCTTGCTGAGCGACCTTGACCAAAAGGAAAGTGATGTGTACTAGTGAAACCACAAGTAATACCAGTCCACAGAAGTGTGGTAAAATAAAAAATTTAAATTTTCAAACAAAATAAATAAATTCAGATAATTGATAAAATCAGGCGTTACTTTGCGAAAATCCATTATAGTAAAAATATTAATTAATTTGCAACCTTCCGCTAAATAAATACAATGATGTGTCTTACCTGGATTGAAGAGCACCTTCCGCCCTCCCTCAATTGCATGCACTAACTTCGTCACCACTAGTCCCAGCACCACTACTCCCAACACCACTACTCCCGGCACCACTATTCCAGGTAAGACACACCATCGACGATAATACGACACATGTTTCGCCTGTACACGAGGCATCCTCAGGTGATGTAGATTCTACGGCGGCTGACCGCTAAGTAGAATCTTAGTAAGTAGAATTTTACTGAATTTATTTAATATTTTTATTAAATAAATTCAGTAAAAGTAAACACTCTGTTTTAGACAACGTACCGTAAGGGGTCAACCCTTGGAAGAGTGGCAACATTGCACGCGGGCGGCATGGCGGACGGCAGCTTTATTTGCGGCACCACATAGTACCTTTGTATAAACCGCAGCTTAAGAGAATCCATTTCCCTATATTATACTTGGGGTATCGTATGAGCCGACAGAGCGAAACTGAAACGAGAAGGGCAGCAGCATCTTCCTATTAAAGAGTTCAAATAAAAAAAAACTGCGGTTGCTAATTGGACTGCCAAACATGGCAACTACATAATCCTATAGAAGAGGGGACTTTTGATAGGCTGAGGGGACTTTTGATAGGCTGTAATCAATGAGTGAATGTAATAACGCATTTTGGATTAACATACCATCAAATCTGATATATTGTTTTTGTGTTGAGTTTTGAATGAATAGAAGCGGAGATTTTTCTGTTTTAGACTTCACGGAAGATCCTGCGCGGAGAAACGCGGTGATCCTTATACGTTATACAACTGTTTATCCGTTCCGGGTTTTTTTTATATAGGATAGGGTGACAAACGAGCACACAGTCTACCTGATGGTAAGTGGTTGCTGTGGTCCGTAGACATCTATATCTATCCTCGATTACGAATCAAAATACAGATGCGTTGTCACCCGTGAGGAACTAAGATGGAATGCATCGTTTCCAGTAAAAAGGGTCTCCGGTTCTCTACACTAACCATACAAAACACGGCAGCATTAAGCTATTTCACGCTGGTATTCTGTGAGAGCGTGGTCCTTCCCCGGTCGAGCTGACCCATTCGTGCTGCAACTATACTTCTAATATAACTGCAGCATGGCTCTACCACGTATAAAAATGGTATAAATAAAAAAAAATGAATGTTAAGTTGGCACTGTGCGTCTACTGCTGCGAATTGTTCGAGAATTCGCAAGTTTCTTGTGAAATCGACTACCACCAACAATTTTTCCGGACCGATACGACTTAAGGACCTTCTAAAAAAGAGCCTACTCTTTTTCAAAAGGCCAGCAACGCATCTGCAGTTCCCCTGGTGTTGCAATTGTTAACGGCGGTAGTCACCATCAGGTGAGCCGCATGCTCGTATGCCCCTTCTCTTTTTTTATTATTCTAACCCAGAGATTATTCTACCTGATGGTAAGTGGTGATGTAGCCTAAGATGGTGAAGCGTACTGACTTAGCAAAAGCCTATTCACTCTTGCCTTGAAGACACCATTGTAATCGGATGGAAAGACAGATGCTGGTAACTTATTCCACTGCTTCGCTGTACGCATGACGAACGATGTAGCAAACCGTTTGGTTCGAATGCGTGGTAAGTCAACAACGAAAGGATGGTGACTGGCCGAACGTCTGATTGTCCGATGGTGGAAGGGAGAGGTAGGAATTAAATTACGCAATTTCTGTGCACACTCCGAAATGCATCGTGTAGAAAAATGAAAGGCTGGCTAATTTCCGCCTGTGTTCGAGGCTGGTAGGATTGGTTTTAACCAAATTCGGGTCAACAATAAACCTCTTAGAATGGTTTTACAGTGACGCTTTCGCCAGCGCGGTTAGTAAGCGTCGCGGGCCACGAGCGTTGCGTCTCTTGGATCGTTACATAGTTGAACCAACACGCGCGGATTGGCCACGCTGGCGGCATTCAGCCGCGCGTTTCAACAGTTACGAAACCGCGCGAATCTAAGCTCGTTTTTTAGTTTCGAGCGGTTCATCCGCGCGTTTAAGGCCTGCGCTTACCGCCCCCGCTGACGGTAAGCGTCACTGTAAAACCACACTTAGTATGCTTTTCTATTGAGTCCAAAGCTGCTAAGTGGCATTATGCAGCACCAGCCCATATGCGGCAGCAATACTCTATGCACCACCGGACTTGGCGGTTTGTATAAATTAAGCAGCTATGCCATAAAAACTTCTATAAAAAAGTGTTTCATACGCATATGGTCGAGGACCATGGCAGTTTCAGCGTTAAAATCGCTATCTCTAACATCCCTAAACCGGAGTTCATGAAGACGAGGCGACGAGGAGGACTTGCGTTATCGGTTGTGCCGGGCGTAATTCTGCGATTTAGAGACTGTTACGGATAACTTAAAGACAGTACACGATAAGGCGATAGATGGGAACGCAAATTTGAGTATCAAGCCGTACCTTTGTATGCTGCGTGTGCATGAATCTTTTGCCGTCGCTCTTTCATCTAAACCGACACACAATCACGCATTTTCTTGCATACGTATGCCACGTTTACGGGAAAAGCTATTCGGAAACGACAGGGTTACTTAGGCATGTGTGGTCGAAACACCAGACCTATGAAGTGCCCATGCAAGACGTGCGGTCGGGTTGAAAAGTTGTAAAGAGCAAGTGGACTATGTGTGTGTTATTTTAACTTTGATAACTAAACTGAGCTAATGGACTGTATGATTATCTTTATGAGACTAACAACTAGCCATGGACGGTTCTATTAAAAGCATGATACGAAATAAACTAACAATTTATTTGCCTATTTATAATGATGTTGCGGCAGTACTTTCTTTTGAGTTATTTACTGGAGCTCTGCTGTGCCGCGAATGAAGATATTTATTCCCGCGGCTGGGGTCGGTTAGTTGGTGAGTTCCCACACGGGCTTGCGGGGGTCGAATGCGCGCTGATTGGTTGGACGTATCGTTGTTCTTCGTCGCAGTGCGGGGTGCGGGGGACGTGTCGCGTTGCGGTGTGAAGCGTGCGGGGTGTCGGGCCGGCGGCTCCCTTTGACGTCCGTAACACAAGTATATCCCAACATGGAAACGAAGCAGCGCCATCGGCGGATGGAAAAACGTTGCCTGCCGTATTCCTGTCCGAAATGCAGCGGCCGTTTTGTAGATTGGCAAAGCCGGAACTACCATTTGGAGGCGGAATACGGCATAATCTTAAGAACCTATCAGTGTGGTGACTGTACCATCGTGTTTACTGGCGAGAAAGTGTACTACGTTAATTATCAGTTGGAACTTTCCAAAGATTGCCTAGTTTGTAAGCATTGCGGGTTGAAATTCTCCTTTTCGTATTCTTTGAAGCGACATTTGGTTAATCATTTTTCTTAAAATTAAGTCCGTGTCGTTATGAAGTAATTTTTATTTCTTTTTACTAAGCCCTAATATCTATGCAGCTTTATTAGATATCCTTTAAAAGTAGCCAGTATTTTTTTAACTCTGTGTTCCCTAGAATCCTGGCATGCACTGCTTGCGAAAATGCGAGTACAGGTTTTTAATAGTGATGTGACACGTTATTTAGGTTGACAAATCGATAGCTTGTCGTTATTAAAATGTGCAATTAATAATTTATAATTCATCTATAAATAATTAGATGTGACGCTATGATATATATTTCTGGAGGTACGGTCAAAGACGTAGTAAATTAAATTGTTGTTACCTTTTATCTACACAAGATAAAAGGTAACAATTTAATTTAACGTAAAATAGCAATATGGATGGACTCATAAAAAAAGTAAACGATTTTAATGAATAAAAAACCCACCATTTATAATAAAAAATAGCATGATTTTGTTGCTGTTGATGTTGTGTGAACGTACAGACAAAAGACAAAAAGTCTTTTTACTACATTATTGAAATATAGATTAACCCAAACAAATAGTTTAGTGTAATTAGTTGTAACCAGTTATTTAGTAGTGGCACAGCCTAATCAAAAGCAACTACGAAACGGAGGCTACAAAGAAAATGTTTTCTTTTTTAGAAGAGTGCGATCCCGTGAGGAGGAATGCGGAGATGATCATAAAGTATACGTCTGCAAGTCCCTTCCGTGTGAGCGTGAAGAGCATAATGTGCGTGTACTGCGGTGATATGTTCGAGGATCCGAACGAGTTCAGAGTCCACATGGTGCAAGACCACGAGACGTTCCGCGTAAATATGGCCTTTGCACGGCTGCCCAAATCTGAATACGTTAAGATCGATATCACGGATATGTGCTGCAGGATATGTCTGAAGGATTTCAAAAATCTTCAGACGATTGGTGCGCATTTGAGAGACTCCCACACCAAAGATATTTGCATAGATTCGCCGTTGGGCGTGATGCCTTACCTCCTCGACAAGGATAAGTGGAATTGCGCAATCTGCGCCAAGAACCTCCCCTCACTGCTGCACTTAAACAAACACACCATAACTCACTTCCTTAGTTACGTGTGCGAAATATGCGGCAAGAGTTACATCGCTTCCACGGGCCTGCTGACACATGTCAGGTCGAAGCACGAAGACGAGTACAAGGCATATTGTAAACGTTGTCAGATGATCTTCCCTTCGATGAAAGCGAAGCAGATACACAAGAGGACAGACAAACGTTGCATGACCCACTGCTGCCCAGAGTGCCCAGAAAGGTTCCCGAGCTACGAATATAAACAGAGGCACATGGTCGAGGTGCATGGTATGACCCGAAAGGAATACAGTTGCACGCAGTGCCCGTTAAGTTTCAACTATCGTCAGGCGTTCTACGACCATTTTAAGAAGTCGCATTCCGCCGACTGCGTGGTGTGCATGCAGTGTGGACATAAATTTTCCAGCATGTCTAAACTGAACCGACATATGAAGAAGCACGCCACTTAATTGTGCTGATGTAAGTGGTAATATCTCTCGGTCTGTTTTATAGTTAGTAGTGTTGTCCATTTTGAATATCGATAATCGGTCACTCTAAATTGTTATTTATCGAAATAAATGATCGATATAGACCACTTTGGGAATCACTGCTTTAATGGATTTATATGTATTAAGACCTAATAAACCTACGATTATCAAAGTGTTTAAAATCCTAGAACATGAAAAGCACGAAGGTTCTTTAAAAAAATCATACGTCGTCACTTTTCTGTAGTCTATCTCACGTTGCAAGACCAGTAGACTTACTCCCGGAGTTGATTTTAAATTCGATTTAGTTTTAGATTCAAGTCTTTTTATTAAAAGGGTATAGTGGGTCAAACCAACGATTTTTTTTAAATGAAGGTAAATATAACTTTTTAGCTTTTTACTACTCGTATGTTCTTATCCTAAAATAAAAAATAATTTCAACAATTAAAATATGAAATTATTTGTATGAAGATCAAGTGAGCGCTAGAGAAACGGCAATTGCAAGACGTTTTCGATAAATAAACTGTTTTTTAAAATTTAGTAACAAGACTAATTTGTAATAAAAATTAAAAAAAATTAAGAATTTCTGTTGCATAATTACAAAAATAACATTTAAAAAAGAATCGTTCTGGGCCTTAGAGCATTTATAAAGAGCGCGTGTTAGAAAGTTAGGACTATAAACACGAGTCAGAACAGTCTCGACATGACAAGGGTGACGTTATTACTTATTCGTCACGATGACGAAAGGTCGCGCGCGTGAATTATATCTTTTGACGGTATTTATTTGAATTTTAAGTTAGTGCAGTGCATTTATAAGAAATATAAAATTTTACGTGGGATTGAGTAAAAATGGCAATGAGTTTAAGAAATCGATGTATTTTACACACAGCAATTTGTAATTATATCTCTATAACTATTAGGTACAAAAATATGTATAAAAACATAAGATAAACAACGCACAATTGTACTGGTAATTATTAAAGATGGGCCGAATGTAGATTTCACCGAACACGAATATTCAGCCGAACGTTCGGTAAAATTTTTACCGAACCGAATATTCGGCCGAACATTATTCGGCAGGATTACATCGGTACCTAATTTATGTCGAAAGTTGTTACCGTAAAGCGCGCGGGATTAGCGCCGGAACCTTCCCCTCGCTCCCCGCCACACCTAACATGTTATTGCATCATCTAGTACTGAGCAAATTGCCGGCACATGCTTATGTTTTGACTATTTTTGTGGAAAAAAAAAAAACTATTTCGTTGTGTTTTTCTTAGTAAAAATTGATAAGTATATGATGAAAATGAGTGGCAGGAGATCTACTATTTGGACCAATTTTAGAGAAACTGACGACTGTAATGTAATGTTTCTTTGTTTGATTCCAAACAAAATGTTATCAAGCTTTATATTTGCTATAATTGGAAATAAATCTACAGTGCCTCAAAAACGTAACGCTGTACAAGTAGATTTAAGCCATAAAAAATATCCTTTCAACAGCAAAATTATGAAAGACATCGGATTACTCAATTCGTACATATCCATACAGTGGATACTTTGAGTACCACTTAAACGAATATTCGGTAATTTAGCCGAATATTCGGCCGAATACGAATATTCGGTAAACCTGCCGAATATGCCGAATACCGAATATAAAACGAATATTCGGCCCACCTCTAGTAATTATCTAATTAAGTAAAAAATAAATTACGACTCCGTATCGCAGTGGCTAAGCGTTTGGCTGCGGCACTGCACGACCGGGGATTCGTTCCTGCACTGAACAAGTGTTTCTACGCTGTTAAAAAAAAGTCTGCGTCGTTGGTGAACAGGATGTACAGCAGAGGAGCAAGTACTGAGCCCTGAGGGACACCAGCTTTAATAGGGCGCTGTGAAGATAGCGTGCCTTCGTGTCTAAAACGAAAGGTACGATGCTTTAAGTAAGAGGCCACGAGACGTACTAGACGATCGGGGAGACCTATTTTGTACACCTTGTAGATAAGGCCTGTATGCCAGACTCTGTCGAAGGCTTTAGCTATGTCGAAAAACACGCGATGGTCTTATGACGACGAGGATAAAAACCGCTGAGGATATATTCCACAATACGGTGAACTTGTTGGGGACATGAGTGTTGCGCTCGGAAACCGAATTGATGGGATAAACGTGCTCTATACTTTGCATATTTATACTCTTAAGGTGGCTCAAGTCGCGGGCTCGAACTCATTGGTGGGCGCGGCCAAAAAGCACGTTGTCTCACCTGGCATCGTGCCCGACAGAGATAGTACCAGTGAAGAGCAGTTAGAACGCACGTCTTGTTCGTACGGCGTTCCGAACCGTTAGAACAAAAACGAAGTTACACGAACACGATGCACACATACATACCACCCTATTCTGTGCCGCTCGACGCTTGCTAAGAAATCAGCAGTACCTACCTACAAACTCGTACTAAATTATTAGGCACTGCGCTACGTTATCGCTTTATACTATACCTCTATGGCTCTATAGATACCTAATATAGATTGCTTATTTTATTATGTTTTGTTTTCCCCCGGGTGCTCATGCAGCGATCACTCAAGAGTTCACGACGCCGAAGCATGAACTGGAACAGTCATCGCAATTTATATCCGTACTAGCTGTTGCCAGCGGCTTCAAACGCGTGAACTCGAAAATTATCCCACAGGAACGAAATACCTGAATAAACGGTATCAAAAAATGTGTTATTCCAGACCAGGTATAACCTATCTCTGAGCTAAATATCATCCAGATCCCTTCAGCTGTTCTGGCGTGATTGAGTAACATACATCTATCCATCCAAACTTTCGCATTTATAATATTTAGATAATAATTGTAATTAGTTCTGCCTACCTATAAATTGTTTTCAAAAATACTTACCTGTCTTCTTACTTTTTTTATATACACACAATATCACTAGATGTAAACACATGTTTTTATCAAGACAAGTGACCCGTCAAGACTGTTTCCTTAGTACCGACGTACTTAGGCAGGTAGTAGTAGGTAGGCAAAAACGATTACTACTGAAAAACTAAATAGGTACCTACCTAACATTCAAATAAAAATATTCTCAAAAAGCTCAACCAATTCAGAATTTAATTTTGTTAAAAGAAAATTGGTCAAATAAAAAATAAAGGATGAAAATAAAGCATATGGGAATATAAAAATAAATCGTATTTATTTGAATAAAACTATTATTTACGGATTTTATCGCGTTTAATTACTTTAATTTATTTTTATTATTATACCGCGTACAGCGCCCATGGTCACGGGGGGACCATGGGCGCTGTAAAGCACCCGAAACGTCGGGATAATAATAAAAATAAATTAAAGTAATTAAACGCGATAAAATCCGTAAATAATAGTTTTATTCAATGTGTAGTGTTCGCGTAAATTTAAGAAATCGTATTTATTTGTTATTTCGAGTTTTACAAGAAAAGCATAATATTTACTGGAGAGAATTATTTTATTATTATAATAGTACATGATATTCCCTTTAAAATGACACCAATATGAATAATATCTTATATCTATATCTACAAATAAATAAAATTTAAGTGTCTGTTTGTAATGTTAAAATAACAGCTTTTTATTAAATGCATATGAAAGTACTAGTAACAAAAACACATTTTTTAAAATTTCAAACACCACAATCTCTAATTTTTTACTCTGCTATCTTCAGCGCTGTACACGAACGGAACGATGTCGTTGAGAGCCGTGGTAGCTCACATGGTTAGCGCTCGTTATAGGTATCACAGTACGGGAGCAACCCGGGTTCGATTCCCACTGGCACCAATGAAATTGTTGCGTGCTGATTTAGCTATCAGTTGGAAAGTCTGTTTTTCTGGGCCGTTTTGTTTTGTTACACTGACATCTCGCAAGTCACCTAGGGACCTAGGAGGTTGTCGGTTGCTTATTTTTTATTTTTCTTTAAAATTTTCGTCGGTAAAATAACATATTTATAAAAGTAAAAAAAAGTAAAGTTACAGCCTATATACGTCCCACTGCTGGGCACAGGCCTCCTCTAATTTCTGAGAGGGTTTTAAGGCAAGGAAATGTCCGCCACGCTGCCTCAATGCGTGTTGACGAACTTACATTTCTACGAAATATATATTTTTTAATTTCTCAGACATGCAGACCCGAGTTCGATCCCCGCCGGTATCAATGAAATTGTTAATTGCAATTGTGCTGATTTACCACGTGCTCGGCGGTGAAGGAAAACATATTGAGGAAACCTGCACGTCTGAGAATATAATTATAATCGAATGTAAATCAAATTGACATAGGTAAGTACAGATAAAATTAGCGGAACATTAATAAAATTTTGAGATCGTTTTTTTTTTCAAAATTTTATTTATATATTCCTCTATTTTTGTCTGTGCTTATATCAATTTGATTTAATCCAAAGTTCAAGCAGGGGTCAATGTAGCGTAGTAATTTAGAGCGCAGGTATAGCTATAATCATACGAACGTCACAGGCCGCAGCTGACAATGACGTCGAATAAAACTAGAATAAGCGCGCGTCACCGCGCATGCATGTGTGTGTAAGTGTCGTCCTCCCGCACCGCACCGAGGGAAAAATTATTCAGTGAGATGCACGATAATTCATATAAACACGCGCGCGTAAAAAAATACGAAAAGGCCTTTGGAAGGAGGGGTCTTATGAAAAACCCACTGCATGAATCAATTACCAATAAAATTTATTGAATTCTTCGATAATTGAGCTGTGTCGGTACCGACTTTGTTTTGGAAATTTTACACTGCTTTTATTACTAATTTACGCCCAAAGTTGTGTTAAAATTGGCAATAAAAACGAATCTTTGGTAGCTCGTAACTTTTTACTGACTTTTTATTTTACTATTCTGTTTCGGTACAGACAAAATTAATAATGAGACAAAACGATATCATGTTTAACTTTGGATGTACACTGTCAAACAGCGGAGTAAAACCCCTCCGAAATTTCTATGGAAATAATGTCGACTAGAGTCACCTTAAGACGTTTCCCCTAGCGAAAGACCTTGAGCGTTCGGTCCTATACAATCCACGCGCTCTCGCTACAATATATCGCGTAAAAATACGCCCGATTTTAAAAAAGATAAGCGAACTTAAGAAATTAAATACAACGTGTAGAATATAGATTTTTGAATTATCTATCCATCAGTGTAATCCTCAAATGATTAGAGCGTTTACATTAGCAGCAGATGCATGTAATCAATAATTTTAGTCATTTATTAAAAGTAGATTTTAAATGTATTCATAACTCACAAACACAAATTAGAACGTGGAATGTGATGATAGGATATCGAACATTAATAATGTAACAGAAACAGAAACTTTTTTTATTCAATGTAGATTATTATAACAAATACTTATAAATAAAAATTGAAAGTCACTTTTTCCCTCTGTCCTGGGAAGAACCAGCAAGAAACCCAGCGGGACTATTTTTTTCCAATAATAGCTTACAATCATGTTTACAATCAGCAACACAAGACAAATTAGAAGTAGCTTGGTAGCGATCACCCTTCCCAGGGGTTATTATCATCCATAAATTCCTTAATATTATAATAACCCTTTTTATACAAACTTAGTTTAATAACATTTTTGAACTTTGTGTATGATAAATTTTGTATATTTTCTGGGATTTTGTTGTAAAAGCGTATACATCGCCCCAAGAATGAATGTGCTTTTAGATGTAGCTTATTTCTCGTAACTAATGAGATAATAGTCTCTGAAAAACGCACTTTTGCAAGGTTTTGGTCAGGGTACCTCCTTAAGTTCTGAGCACTCCTATCTATGGTTCTGAGGGGTCCTTCTAATAACCTCTCGTCTGTGAGGTGGCAGATATCAGCCAGAAAAAAAAGCCGCGTCTGTGGGCGGCAAAACTCTTATGTTTATTTATAGTTCTCAGTGCAATAAGATTTACGATCTTGTTCACTTATGAACTTGGCTGTATAGTATACATTAAATACTAGCAGTGTCTTAAGAACGTTAAAGTGTGGGGGTCACTTTTTTATACCCCCAGATTAGTTGGTTTAGAATGAAAGTTTTAAACATTGTTTTGCTGAAAAATTTGTATGAAGAGCATTAGTTTTTGGTGATAGATCTATTAAAATATGTACTGTTAATGTAATTAAATGCTAATTATTATTAAATGTTTGTGTATTTTTAATTTTTACATGTAAATAAATAAAATAAAAAATAATAAAATAAATAAAGATAATTACATATTTAACAGATTTATTATATTATTGTAGTTGTATGATTTAAATAAATAGAAACAGAAACTAATTCTAAATAATGGATAAAGAAAATAAAACCTTAAATTGAAGTAGAACTGGAGATATTATAGTTTTTATAAACTTAGGGCCAAAAATAACCCAAGTCTGTGATGTGGCTGATTTCAGCCACCACAGACATGACAGTTTCCATTTTGATTTCCTCACAGATGAGAGGATATTACTATACTCTTTGGTGAGGTCTTACAAATTTGACATGTTGAAATCTGATCGGTTTTTCCGAAAGTTGACAGATAAAATATTTTTATAACATAAATAAGACTTATCAAGAAAAAGTATTCTCGTTTGCGACTACTGGCTCCACCTGGCAGCGGATGACAGCTGAAGAGTACTGTTATAATAATTTCAATTTGAACCATCATTTTTATTGTGCACTAGCGGTAGTTTCTAAAGAGCGGAGTTACTTTGAATTCGAATAAAATCCGATTGATGCAGAACACGATTCGAAACTAGAGATCTCAAAATAGAGTCTACGGTGTACAATCTATATATATATATAAAATATATATATATATATATATATATATATATATATATATATATATATATATATATATAATCGGAATCTCGGAAACGGCTCCAACGATTTTCATAAAATTTAGTGTCCAGGGAGTTTCGGGGGAAATAAATAGATCTAGCTAGGATTTATTTTTATAAAATGTCTTTTTGTGCTACAATATAAGAAGGTAAATTTTGACACTGTGTTAATGATCGCAATAGCTCAAGTGGATATCGAGCGGTCGCGAAATCTTAATGCATTGGTTCGCGTCCTGTCTTCGGTCCGATTTTTTCCCTTTTTTTTTTTCAAGTTCCCTTTATATTGTGAGAAAATGTATTATTGTGAGCCCTTTTTTTAGTATTTTTTAAAAATACGAAAATTTTAATTAAACTAATTGCACGCATGATTTTTTATTAACTATAAGTAGAAAAATTAAGAATGCGCAAAAAATTAAAGATCAAACCACAGAGGCATAGTTTTGTGTATTTCTATAACACACTAGAGACTGATATACTATTATTTAAAACTGATTGCTCAATTAACTGACATTATGTAACAAAAAGTCTACCTAGCGACATCTGCTGAGTGGAAGATTATTTAGCCCTCATTCTTGCAAGCTTTTTTTTTTTGTTTCACAAAGGTTTAAAGGAAAAAACAAAAGTTTAACTAAATACGTAAATAAACTATGTCAGATGCCGCTCTATCTCTATTTTTGATTAAAATGTAAAAGAAAAAACGATAAGCTATTGGAGCGATGAAATATCGAATCACTGAATGATGAATCTCACCTGGGCTACAGCGGAGTTTTTCTGTTTTAGATGAGACGGAAGATGCTGTGCGCAAGAACGCGGAAACACTTATAAAATACGCGACCGCTTACCCGTTCAGAGTGATCGAAAAATCAATATCATGCGTTTTCTGTCGCGAGGTGTACACCGATCCCGAAGTCTTTCAGATGCACATGGACGACGACCACAGAACTTCCAGTCTTAAACTCGCCTACGGCATTAAAACCGAGTACATCAAGGTCGATTTGTCTGATCTTCGCTGCAGGCTTTGCGACAAAAACCTCCCAGACCTGAACGCGACAGCCGACCATCTAAACACTGTACACGGCAAGACGATCGACATGAGCGCGAAATTGGGCGTCATGCCGTTCGTTTTGCAAAAAGGTTGTTACGTTTGCGCTTTATGTCAGACGAAGCTGCCCTCGCTGACAGTTCTGTTGCAGCACACGATAACTCATTTCATAGACTTCGCTTGCAAAGTGTGTGGAACCGGTTTCATGACTGAAGCGGCCATGATAAAACACGAGCTCGCAAAGCATCCGTCGTACGAAGTGTCGTGTAGTAAAAGCAACGAGGTGTTCCCTAATGTGGAGGCGAAGGACCGTCACAGGCGTATGAATGAAAAATGCTTCCCGTACACGTGTAGTAAATGCCCGGAGCGATTTAATGATTGGAACACGAGGGGGGACCACTTGAAGTATTGTCACTGCAAGAACGACCCGTATCGGTGCGTCGCCTGTGGTGTCATGTTCACTGAGGAAAAAGATTATTATATGCATCTCAAATTGGATCAAAAAAAATAAAATTGTTAATTGGTAATAGAAGGTGGCGCATAGAATCGAGAAACTCAAAATTTCAGTCGATAACACTATAATGCCGGCAGCTGTTCGGACCCGATGCGTGGTTGAATATAACAAATTTTACCCACAAAAAGAACATAATTATACACAGCTGATATGAAGTATGCAGAATTTAACGTGCTTCAGGATCGTCGTAATCATTACATCAGATCATTGATAGTTGATAGATTGAAGTATGATTCGTACTACTATTGAAATTATAAAAAAACACCCTTGTTTCAATAAAAAAGATTACTGGGTAAAAGATGGTAGTAAAAGTAGAAGATGAATGGCAACTGGCAAGTTTTTTTATTGACCAATTTTTTATTGAAAAAATTTTTTCATACCCTGCGGCCTCTGTATTTCGCGATTCAGCGTATAATATAGTCGAACGGTTTAGGATTTATAAACAAATATCTAAAAATGTACTCTCAAGTGAATACAAATGTCTTTTCCTTATTCTTGTGACTCGCATTTCTTTTCTTTTAATTTTAAGTAGCAATAATACAATGTCAATGGCGTTACCACGGACGGTAGAAGTAAAACTAAGGTACCTGCGGCCTGCGGGTACAACGTAACAAAAGTCGTATTTATAATAACCGCTCTCGCTCAAGGAGATAAAAACAGACTCCTATTACACGATAATGTCTCTACAAGTTTGCAGAGACGCGTTACCCCACGTCTTGCCACCAGAGTTGTATTATTTATCATAAGATACGTCTGGACCAATAATAAAAATCAGTGTAAATAAATCTTAGATATGTTTTGTTATGTTAGAATTAGCTATCTAAAATTGATCTTGAAGATTTGAATAACGTATTGTCGTAATTTTTTTTTAAAATTCGGTTTTTCTTAAATACTTGGTTGGCGGTTATTAAGGCCTACTAAATTTCACCATAGGCCTTATTATACTCCCTCTCCGTGTGTAGTTTTTTGTTTTATAATGTATTTTATATCACTTCGAAAATATTGTAAATGCAAATAAATCGTACGCTTTTATTACTAAACTAATATCATAGTCAGAAAACGATCTGGTTTCAGCTGTACAATCACTGCAAAGATAAAGTGTGTCGAAGAATTAAGGCTTTGACATTAGAAGCTACTAAATTATTCGTCCTGCGCCTAAGCTCTCTCGACTCGTGTTGGATTGCGATTTGATTATTGTGAGGGAATAGAGAGTGCACCTGTGCTTGCACATTCAGAGACTATAATTCTGTACTGTGCAGATAGGCTAGTCTCCGTGGATACTGGCCGCTGGGACGAAAGTTCAGTTGAGAGAACACTTAACCCAACAACAAATCCAACTCTCAACTCAACCTAACACTCATCTAATTCGATTACTCGAGACACAACCGAAGCACTGATAATCACGAGGATCACGTTGTTTGTCAGTTTGTTCATGATTATAATAATGACTTGACGAAGTGCTGTTAGACGAGGAAGATTATATTTTTTTAGAACTTTAAGTCGTAATTGCTGCATTTTTGTAATTATTGATCACAAATAATAAATATGTTACGTACATTTTGATAATTTAAGTTCTTTAAAGCAGCAGGCCTTATTATCCAACCATAGTAAAATAAGGCCTACTAGCAAAGTTTTTAGAAATGTTTAATTTTGTTTTTCTTTATGGAAAATGTTACAATTTTTCGTTCATGTTTTTGTTTTTTGGAAACTGTACTAATCTAACGATTTTTATTAAAATATGGAGACCAAAATGGATTTTTCGTGTTTTATTCAAATGTCACTTAGCTAGGCCTTATTACCAGCAAGTATTATAAATTTGACAACCGCGTATTGACAAACAAATTTTCAGCATGTATATACAACATGTAACATAATTAACGCACTTTGAGAAAGTAGTTCGTTCAGAATCGTTTACTGAATCGATTCCTATCATTTTTAATATAGGTAATTTTTTATCCCAAAAATAATTAAAACTACGTAAATTACAGTCACACTAAATCTGTACAGTTAAAACAAACTGAAATGGACCGTAACTTAAGGCAATAAGACTTTTAAGAGTGCAGTTTTATTTGTATTATTACTAATTCTGTCATTCAATAAAAATAAAGAAAAATGAACTTTATTTCAAGCGCGTTAAAGTCTTTGCGTTCGTGGATTTGTACTGTGACCACAACATTCTTCCGGAATTAGAATAATTAATTTGATAAATAATCAGTGCATAAAAATGTTTAACTAAAAATTTAGTGTATGTATTATGATTATAACATAATATACTAATTGGGGTGTCTAAGGGTGTGCGTTAATTACGTTACATATTGTATATTACACGCTGAAAATTTGTTTGTCAATACGCGAGAATGACATGGGCGTTTTCCAAAAAAGTTGTACCTTGAAAAAAGTCAGTGTCCGGCCACTTTCAGAATAAATTATCAAATATTATAAAAGTTTTTATTACATATCATTTATTTTAATAATAAAGTAACATATAGTCTCATAAATCAAATAAAAATAAGGTCTGAATCTGTTATAAATCAAAAATAAAATCAAAATAAGTAAAATGGGGTCGATGTTTTTGGTATGTCCCACATCTACTGTGTCAACTTCAGAGTCACATAATACGGTCGTGTTATATTATTATTCAAACTTTTTGCATTTGACTGGTCATTTATGAACGTAACTTCAATTTTAAACCTGAAATGTACATGTTACGGTTGAAAATTATTTTAAAATACCAGATTTTGTGTTGTCCTGCAAAATCGCGTATGATGGAATTTCCGCGTACGTGACCGCATTTTCAACGACTTCCAACAAAAAAATACCACCAATTCAATACATTTTCCCAAATATAGCAACATTATTAGTCTATGGTGGCTGCTGTATTTAATTTTTGACAGCCAGTTCGCCAACAAAACGTAATCGAAGTGGTCGTCTCGACTCATGTAAAAAAAATAATTCCACAAACGATACTGCTTTTCTCCAGGTAACGTATTCATGTGTATTTCATTCTATTTTCTATTAAACATGTTAATTTATTGTTATTTGAAATGTTAAGTTATATTGAACAAAAAGTTTGATAACTAATTAGTAAATTCATTTGAAAATTTTATTGGCATGGTTACGTTACCTCCATTAGCGCTACTATCGCATGAATGGAACTCAAAAGTGACGTAATGGAATCCTAAAGGTCGGTTCATAAAGTCATTGTTTTAATTAGTGTTCTAAAGTCTAAATAAATTAAGTATGATTAAAATAATAATAAAATGCCTTGAATTTTTTAAATGAATTGCTTATTACTTAATTTCGTGTGTAAATCAAACAAGATTTTTCGACTAGATATTTCAGCTCAAAACACTCCATTCAGGATAACATTAGAAAAATAACAGTGAAATAACGATAGTTATTACGTTATATTGTTGAAATGGCTGCATTTAGTGTTTAATTTTAATGGTATCCTGAATGAAAATTTTTTGTTTTTTGCGTGAAAATATATTTGATAAACAGTTATCACATTTATTTTGACAAATATTTCACGCAACGCTTTTTGTAAATCTATATAAATTTTTTCACAAAAATTTGAGATTTTTCGTACGGGGTACATTATGATAACTCACTATTGATTTTAGGTTTAAATATGCCCTTGACGGCTGCAGAAAAGTCAAAACGGTACCGAGAAAAAATCAAACAAAACCCGGAAAAATATGAAGAATTTAAGAAGAAGGAATTACGAAGACAAAAAAAGCACCAAAAGAGGATTAAAAAGCTCACTGAGGACGAGAAAATGGAAAAAAGAAAACTCTGGAGAGAACAAAAACGAAAACAAAAACACTCAACCGAATCCACAATCAGGGCAATCACGTGACGCATCCAATAATTCAGCTCCACATTCATTGAAAATTAGGTACTGAAAATTGTTAAATAACTACAAAAAGGCTTTCAAGACGATTCGTCAATATAATACAACAACACAGACTCTGAGAAAGAAATTACGCCGAATGAAAAAAAAAACATGAAACCGAATTTGATTTATTGAACACAGAAAACGATAAATTGAAAGCAAGACAAGAAATAATGGAAATATCAATTCGTAGTACGTACAGGAATTGTAAGAAAAATAAAGAAAAACAATTAGTTAAAAACGTGATTAGGAAACAGGCGCATATATTGTAAAAAGCACCTGAAAGTAAGATTTTAGGTCTTAAAGAAAGAATCAGGAAAAGGATTAATTTACAACGACCAATAAATAAGAAGACTCAGGAAGAAATAGAACTTTTTTATTTGAGAGACTACATAAGTAAAAGCACAGCTGGTAAGAAGGAAACCAGGTCCAAAGACAAACAAAAAGCACAAATAAGATACTTAGTCGACACACTGAAAAACGTATACGAAATTTATAAAAAAGACGGTGGGTCATGCGGCTTCACCACCTTTTACAGATACAAGCCTTATTATGTACTGTCTCCAAGTATCAATAATAGAGAAACCTGCTTATGTATTAAGCACAGTAACTTTGAGTACATGTTTAATGCATTGAAGTGTAAAGATGTCATAACTTACAAGAATATAAAGGAGCTCTTGAACATCGTTGCATGTGATATTACGCGTTATGACTGCATGTACAATAAATGTAAAGATTGTAAGAGTATTTCATATGATGAACAAAACCTCGATTCTGCTATATCATGGTTCAAATGGGCTAGGGTAAACCATGAATATGAAATATCTGGCAAAGTATATACAACTAAAAAAGACCACCAAACAACAAGTAAAAAGGAACTGTACTTTCATCACCAACTTTCAGAACGAGCTACCGGCGTTTAAAACTCATTTCTTTTGGATTGAACAACAACGTCAATACAGAAATTGTATCAAGAACATGTAAGATGACGAGATACTCATTTTATGCGACTTTTCAGAGAATTTTGAATGTAAATATAGTGAAGAAGTCCAATCAATGCACTTTGGTGCCTCCAAAAACACGATCACTTTACATTGTGATGTAATTTTTTGGAAAAATCTATCCCAATCATTCGTATCTGTTTCAGATAACAATTGCCATGAGCCTTTTGTTATACAAAGAATGGTAAAATGTAATGCATGTAAAAATTGGGTTTGCCTGATATGTAGCGGAACAACCTTTTCAACCTTTGTTCGATTTGTCTTGGGACTGATGAATAGTTTTTTGTTACAGTTTAAGACCGTTTACAACGTACGGCATTTCATACAAACTTTCAAGTCTTTATATTTCGAAATAAATGAACCGATTTTAATTAAACTTCCTATGCATAAGCAGGATATATAGGTCCAAAAAGTTAATGAGAACTATTTCGAAAAATAATGTTACAGCTAGATTCAGCTGATTTTAAATTTTCCATAGAAACAGATATTTCCAATTATCTTGTTTTAAATAAGACATTTCAAAAATGTTCTTTACTAACTTTTTAGAACTATGTGTCCTGCTTATGCGTGTGAAGTTTCATTAAAATCGGTACATGCATTTCGAAAACAAGGACTTGAAAGTTTGTATGAAATGCCGTACGTTTTAAACGCTCTTAAATGACATACTAGTAATATTATGTTTAATACGATAAGTACAAGTTACCATAATTGTTGTCATAATTGAGAGTCATATAGACGTTGCCTTATAGTTCCTAAACGTTATTTTCGAATTACATTAACGTCACTGTCCTATTATTACTGTGATTTATTTTCTAAGACTAATTAATAGATCTCAAAGAAATTTGACTGTTTTTGTTCAATATAGCTTACTATAAATTTTTAATTTGATATAATTAAACTTTTGAAAGAATATTTCTCATATTTGACGTTCTAGGATGAAAAAAATATAGTACAAAGTACCCAAAAGTAGCGTAAGGAATATCTTTGTTAAAACATTTTTTGATTAGATCTAATATGCTGAATTATCAATATTTTTTAGAAAACAGATTGTGTTTATTTTTCATAAATAAAGTTAAAAATACTGAACTTCTTTTAGTTTTCATGAAAACTATTTTAAAATTAGTAACGTAATGGAATTTCTTGAGAACATAATTTAATTAAAATTGTAATTATTTTCAAAATTCATTATTATTTTCTTAAAAAAATACTATTTTCATACTGCTCATACTATATTTTATCAATTTAATTACATTTTGAAGCTAAATGTTAAAACTCATATAAGTGGAATTCTAACTACGTCACCGACAATTTTTTTGAAAAACGCCCACATACACAATTGACAGTCGGTGCCAGTACGTAGCGCACGTCAGTGTCAGAGCTGAGCTGATACTGTTGGACCTGAATGTTTTTGTGCGTGTGTACAAAATTATAGGAAAATTAGGGTGAAAAACGAGCACACTTACCACCTGATGGTAAGTGGATGCTGTGGCCTGTGGCTGTGGTGGTGGAAACTGCAGATGCGTTATCACCTATGGACTAAGATGGAATGGCTCATATTCGGTAAAAGGGGTTTTGTATTCTCTACACTCACCAGACGAAATACATTTGAGAGAGCAGAATTAAGCTGCTATTTTACGCTGGTATTCTGTGAGAGCGTGATTCTACCTCGGTCAAGCCGACACAGTCATGCTACACCCATAATATATCTTCAGCGTTGTTCTATCTCGTATATTATATGTATATATATATATATATAGTGTATTATAACGTCCGTATTTTTTACGTCCATGGGAGTTACATGAAAACTTGTCCTTGCCCTTGGTCGATCACAAATGTGACTAGTTTCATTGGTCAGACTGAGAGAAAACTGTATTACGTACATTTTATGAGCAAATATTTTATATTACCAATGAATGGGTACATAGTTAAAAATCTTTCTATTTTATTAAACTTATGACTATTTCACCCTCTCATCATCAAAATCTGGAGAAAGTGGATATGGTTTGATAAAGATGATTGTCGCCTGACTAAAAAGTATACATACGAATTGAATCCCCAGTAGAATCAGAGAAACCGACAAAGCCCAAAGGATCAGTAAACTAACTTTAGGTTACTGGCCGCTTTATTTACTAGCCATGGGCCGTTCTTGTAGCAGGAAGAACATTAGATTGGGATGAAAGGTTCTCGAGTGGCGGCCGCGTACTAATAAGCGAAGTGTGGGATGGCCCTTAATTAGATAAGAGTACTGACAACCCAGTAATACATGCAAAAAGTCAATGGATGCATAGCTCGTGTTTTGTGGCATTCCTCGGGAAAGTTCTATGTTCAGGTGTAGACTCGTGAATTGCTGTAATAATAATAAAGATTCCGTCAGGTCTGATCAGGTACTTTGTTATCTCGGTCGCTTAGCCGCGTAGCTTTTTATCCGACCACCCCAGGAGAGTAGTTTTACGAGATTCCAATTGAAAAGGAACCCAGGTTCGGGGGTCCTCTTGAATCGGCCGCGAAGGACCAATTGAAAAAGACCAACGGGGATTAAACGTTTGATTAAGAAACAGAAGGGAGGAATCGAGGCTTCTCTCGATCCGGCCTCCTGTAACGCCTACGTTGGGTTCGGGAACAACGTATGTGATCTCCGCAACGGAGTAACACACAAGGGCGATAACCTCTTCCTTTTCAGCGAGTAGGTTCAGACGGGGATTACGGGTCTTCCGAAGTCGTCCCGGTCCCAACGCCTTAATTCTTCGATGTGGACTGTATAACTTGAGGGATGAATTTCTTGGGAATAAAACAGCAATTATCTTCAAACCATTCCAATTGAAAAGGAACCCAGGTTCGGGGGTCCTCTTGATCTGGCCGCGAAGGACCAATTGAAAAGGACCAACGGGGATTAAACGTTCGATTAAGAAACAGAAGGGAGGAATCGAGGCTTCTCTCGATCCGGCCTCCTATAACGCCTACATTGGGTTCGGGAACAACGTATGTGATCTCCGCAACGGAGTAACACACAAGGGCGATAACCTCTTCCTTTTCAGCGAGTAGGTTCAGACGGGGATTACGGGTCTTCCGAAGTCGTCCCGGTCCCAACGCCTTAATTCTTCGATGTGGACTGTATATTTGTAGGGATGAATTACTTGGGAATAAAACTAACTATAGCCTAAACGGTCTGATGGATTTTAACATATAAGGCGTTGTTAGATTCGTCTTAATTATGGGAGTGACATAGGCTATGTAAAAAGTATTTTTTTTATAATGTGCGAGCAGCTATGCAGGACTAGAGAATGAGACCACTATCACTGCGACCTAAAACAACTATTGAAATCTATTGTGATCGCTGCTATGGCAAAAGTAAAAATTAAAACACAAATGATATTAAGTAGTAATACAAAAAAGCCTTTAACTTTCGTATACAACGCTTTGTTGTGAATTTAAGGATTTGTCTTCAGGAATCAGCTTTTACGTTGAAAATTTTCAAATAATATAAAAAATACAACTCTTTCGTAATAACATCTATAAAATAAAAACTGTGATTGCCAAATTGCCTATTAACCCTAGAACCCTACCCAGGGTGCTGCACCCTGTGGTAACTTTGATAGATAATATTTTTTTTAACTAATGGCAACACGGCTTCAGTATTTTTTCTAATCTCCTGTCAAATCATGTTAACCATTTTGTACAAGTTGAAAATTGACTGTCATACCGGTAAGTATTGTAAATAATTAACACTCCATTACGCGCGCCCCTGTTTGGGACGCGAGTGCTCGCGCGCTCTACATATGTAGAACTATTTTGTATAAAGATTTTACAGGAACAATAAACAAATATAAAAAATACTTCAATATCATATAAAAACAAACTTTAATAAGAAACTAAAATAGACGAAACATAACTGTTACCATTTATTAGGCACTTATTATCAGACTTCTTGTGAATTTTGAGAAAAATCAATGATTTTTTTGGCATCAAACCTTCTCAGTCTCCTTTTTTTACTCGCTCATATCTTCCACACGGTCTTTATCATTTTTACAAGAGTCAAGGCATTGAAGAACTTGATGTTGAGGACGAATCCACTATTTACAGGTGTCACATTGTTTTCTAGTGGACTTATTGCGCGCTCTGCCACAAAAGGAACATTTTCCGACTCGACCAGTATTGGGGAGTTGTGCTGGGCATGGTTGTAATTCCGATGGCTCTTTCATGCCCAAAAGCATTTTCCCTTTCATTTTCAATGATTTTGGAATAATTTCAATATTTATTCTGCGTTGTATGCATGGCGCGACTAGGTGAAAACCAAGTTCATATAAAAAATTCCTTCCTGGCCTTATTTCTGTAGTTGTTTATTGTATGTACAATATAACCGTTTATAGCACTTATATTCATTAAATTGAATAAAATGGTAAGTGAGACGTCATAAATACAACAAATAATGTCCACGCCGTATTTGATATTGTTGTAAAAAGTTATTATTTCCGGCTTACGTTTCTATTTATTTATTTTATTTATTTATCCTTTTTTGTACACCACAATACAGAAACATCAATATAGTTAAAACTAATTAAAGTATGTACAATAGGCGGTCTTATCACTGAAAGTGATTACTTCCAGACAACCTTTGCGTAGAGTAATGATGCAAACAAAAGTTACAAATAGAGGGGGGGCATACAAAATAACAAAAAAATACAACAATACATACAAATAAAAGTAAGTGAAAGTTATATATAAAATATCATATAATAGATCGTTTCTCTGCTGTTTGTAAATCGATAATTATGATCATCATAGTGCATAGGTGAGTAAATAAGCATCACTTACTTTGATTTTGGCATGTAAAATACTAAAGTACCTTGTTTTTGAAAGCCAAAAATTGAACTCGTTTCGCTTCTGTTTCTTGTGATTTTGAATTCTTTGGGAACTTGTGCCTTATTTTTTCTTCACAGTGCCTACGACAGTAATTTTGCTACCTAAGAGTTCTAAGCATTGAGGTATATTCGTGAACCAATTGTGCATTGTGACGTTATAACCTAAACCATCCAATGGGGTAAGCATTCGTTGCACAATGTCCACAACTTTATTTGATTGTGCATAAGGACCATCTGGCTGAGCACCTGCGTATATTTCCATATGGTAGGCTTAAGATACCTTTGTATCCGTTACTAAAATAATATGTATCCCATACTTTGCTGGTTGCTTCATCAGTAATAAATTCTTCCAACCATCTCAAAATATGTGCCATCATTGTGCGAAATATAGTTATTTCGGTTAAAAATAATATTATCAAACAAAAAAATTCATAATAACAATATTTATACTTAATATAAACACTTACATAAAATAAAAACGATAAACTTCCGACAAAAATGTCACGCGAGTGCTCGCGCGCTCTGCTATTGTAGAATTTTAGTTTTGGTGCGAATTTTCTAACAAGTGCGATCGCGCAGTTTGCCGAAAGGGTACTAATTGTGATCACCAGCTAGTAATAGAGGAATACTATGAGTTTGTGCGTTAGACACCCACAATTAATGTTAAAATCCCACGAAATGCATGCCTGTTCTACAATAGTAGAACGCGCGACTAATGGAGTGTTAATGCAGGGTGCTGTAGCACCCATGGGTAGTAAAATACACAAATATTGCAAATAAATCAGTCTCTTATTTTAGCTATAAATATTGTAATATCTATGTTCTTGTGTTTAGAAGTGCATTTCTTTTATAGGTTGTAAGTATTGTGAAATAATATGGCGGGTTCTAGAAGAGAGATGTATATTTTGGCAAAGAAAGTACTCCAAGGACACAACCCGTCGCAAATTACTATCTCCAATCTTTGACATCTACTATACACGGCACCAATAGAAAGCTGACTTGTGACAATTGGTTTACTTCGATTCCATCAGCTACTGCATTACTTGAAAAGAATATAACATTAGTTAGAACTCTAAGACAAAGTAAAAAAGAGATACCTGCAGAAATGAAAGACCAACAATCTTTTGCGAAAACTTCCGCCACGTTTGCTTACAATGGACCTCTTAAATTACTAGCTTACTGTCCACCTAAAGGTAGCCAGAAGAAGGTTGCAAATTTACTGTCATCAATGCACATTCTTCCCGATAAAGATAAAACTGTTTCTTTGTCCGAAATGATCGATGTTTATAACAAAACAAAAGGAGGAGTTGATACATTTGACCAAATGTGCCATTTCTATTCAGTGTCACTCGTCGCTGGCCTTTATGCATGTTTTACAGGTTATTGAATACAGTCGGTATCAACTCTTATGATATTGTCGAAGTTTAGTTACTCAATAAATAAGTAAAATATACCCAATAGACGGACATATCTGATAACTTTATCCTTATAGCTTATAACACCTTATTTCAAAGAAAGAAAAAAAATTGGCCTACTTTGAGCCACAATATCCGCCAAATGATAAACGGCATACTCAAAACGCCAAATGAGCTTGATGGACCAGCTCCTAGTGTCCTTAAACAAGGACGTCATAGATTATGCCCTTATTCAAAACACAGAGAAAGTAAGACCTTTTGCAATTAGTGTAAAACGCCTATCTGTGGAGAGTATCACATAAAAGTTTCTTTTAAATGTGATTAAACCGTTTACTTTCACTATTTGCTTATAAGTTGATTTCTAAAAGAACCAATAAATAAATTTATATACAAAAAACTGCATTTAAAATATGTCTCATTACATAACAGGGTGCTCGGTCACCCTGGGTAGAAAAAGTCGCTGTAAAATATGGGTAGGGTTCTAGGGTTAAGCGAGGCAACTATGGAAAATGTCCGTATAAGGCAATCAATGGGGAGGCCTATGTTTACTTATTTATAGTTCATAAAAGATGGCTTAATCTCTGCGACAGTCAGTAAAATCACGTCTGAAGTCCTGAATTTCTTAGTAGTACAGACAGTACCTGTCAATGTCATACTAATAAGGTCGGCATGCCCATAAAGTATGACAATGACAGGTACTTTCTGTACTACTAAGAAATTCAGGACTTCATAGGCGTGATTTTTACTGACAGCTGTCGCAGACCAAGCTATCTTTTATGAACCATAGGAGAAACTTGATGTGTATGGATGGACGAAAAAATCTAATTAAGTTTTCTGTTGTTATGTTTAAACAAATTACTATTGACGCAATTTTTAAATATAGGAACAATTTAATTACAGCCGTGAATAGTTTTTGACGAAACTGTATTACTCGCTTATTATTGAGTCCCGTTTTCGTCTCAAAATTTCAGTACGCATAGTCACCAAGACTTCTTTCTCTTTGTTCTAGAGGTCGATTGGTTATTCGAGGCAAGAAACAACGCTAAGTTAGTCTTGAAATACTCAAAAGCGTACCCTTTTCGAATACCAGGCGATTCCATGGTATGCGTCTACTGCTGCGAAAGCTATGACGACCCTGAGGAGTACCGAACACACCAAGACGAAGAGCATATCAGTTTCCACGTGGACACGGCATTTGCCCACGTCTTTACCAATTACAATGAGTACCTTAAAGTCGATTGCATAGACCTCGCCTGTCGTTTATGTTTAGAACGTTTCGATACGCTCAACGCTATCGCCGAGCATCTGGTTGAGTCGCACAGTATTAAGATCAACCTGGCCGTTGAGATCGGCATGCAGATGTTCAAACTGGGCGCAGAGAGATGGGTCTGCGCAATTTGTGGCATGAAGTTGCCCTGTTTGCGGATGCTCAGTCGCCACACCAGCTGCCACTACCACAAGTTTACGTGCGAAACTTGTGGGAAGTCGTATGTTAACCGAGAGAATCTGACGCGGCATATTGCGTACGGTCACAGCGAATTTAAAATATGTACCCGTTGTAAGAAAAGTTTTCCTAGTTGCGAGGCGAGGCGGGAGCATGTGCTAGCTTCGAAATCGTGTTGGCCTTTAAGCTGCTCTTTATGCGGTCAAAGGTTTGCTAATAGGAGGTCTAAACTCGACCATCTCGTAGAAGTTCACGCCAAACCGCCCAAGACCTACTCTTGCCCAGAGTGTGGGGAAGCATTCGACAAATGGCGTATGTACCGAGCGCATTTTGTGGTTACACACACCACGGACAATTACTCCTGCTCGTTTTGTGACCAGAAATTCGATAACAAAAGGAGCCTGTTGGACCATAGAGTGGTTCATACAAAAGAGAAAGCCTTCCCATGTACGGTCTGCTCCAAATCCTTCAGCCGGAAGAAGAATTTGATGCAGCACTTATGGATTCACAGAGAGGATAAACGCTTTGAGTGTACTCTTTGCAACAAACAATTTAATCAGAGAGTCAGTTGGAAGACGCATATGAAGTCACATCATCCTGAATTGGTTGACTTTTAACAAGTAAACTATTTGTGATTAGAAATAAAAGTAATATTTTCCTAAATATGTATTAGTTACGATTAACTCGAATATTTATTAAACTGTGTAAGGATTTTGGTTAGACACAAATTAAAATAATTCTGCGATAAGTTGTCGAAAGTTTAGTCGATGTTTTGTGTTATGAATTTTAGTGTTTGTTAAAAGGATTTTTAACGTTAGTTAGAACTTTAGTTTGTTACTTTTTTTAAAGCAAAATGATTTTGTTTAGATCTTTTTTTGTGGTTGGTTCCTAGCAATAATAATAATAACTATTATAGTGAAACATTACAATAAAATAAACTGGAATTTCAACATTTAAAACATAAGCGTTTGCGCGATGGGTAATCGGAAAAATTATATTTTTTTACCGATTGATTTTCTAATATATTTATTGTTTTGAATAATCCAATGTCATTATTTAATAAACAGCGTACTTCTTTAAGTAATGCGTTTCGTCATTGGACCAATGGTAAAATTTGTAATTGAAAATAATTATTATATCATATTGAATAACCGAGTTAACTAAACATTGGTGTTAATAATTCAGACAGGGGATTGTCTCGATAAATCTAAAAAATATGCTCCCACGTGGACAAAAACTGTTATATTAATTAAGTACATACGTATAGAATGCAGCGGGACTGCATAGATATAAGTACGTGTAAATGGGAGAGGGTAACTGAATGACCAAGGACATTTCTTTTTGTTCTAGACCTCGATCCATATCTCATCGCGAGACGAAACGCCGAGATAGTGGTGAAATTTGCCACAGCGTACCCGTTCAGGCTCCCGGAAGATGCCTTGGTATGCGTGTACTGCTGCGAGAGTTACGATGATCCATCGCAGTATAGGAAGCACATGGACACCGAACACCAAACGTTTAAGCTGCGGATGGCTTTCATCCATTGCACCGAAGGGTACATCAAAGTTGACTGCACCGACCTACGCTGTCGCATCTGTTCTCAAAAATTCGAAACAATCGACGACGTCGCGAATCATTTAAAGGATGTGCATCAAGCGGACATAGATCCAAATTATGAGATAGGTGTTCAACCGTTCAAATTGGAGAAGGACCGTCTTCTTTGCGCCATATGTCGCTTGAAGTCCCCTTGCATCCGTCAGCTTAGCAGGCATATTCAAACTCATTTCTTGAAATACACGTGCGAGGCGTGCGGAAAATCTTACGCGACTATAACTACATTAAGACACCACATCACATACTCACACACCGGGGAGGAAAGGATTTGTAGGAAATGCAAAAGGACGTTCAGTAACCTCGAAACGAAGAGGCAACATTTGGCGGAATCGCGAAAGTGTTGGCCTCACCTGTGTAATATTTGCGGGGAAAGATTTATGACTTGGACTTTGAAGCAGGCCCATTTAACTCAAGTCCACGGAACTCCAAAGAGATCGCACGTCTGTCCAGAATGTGGGGAGGTGTTTTTAGATAGAAAAAAGTATAGGGTCCATTTCAAAATCTCCCATACAGACGACAACTATGTATGCTCTTGTTGCGGTATGAAATTTGATACGAAACGAAACTTAGAGGAGCATAGAGTTGTGCACACTAAAGAGAAACTCTTCCCATGTCCCGCGTGCCCGAAATCGTTCCCCAGGAAAAAGAACTTAGTACAGCACATGTGGATTCACAGCGAACAGAAAAGATTCGGATGTGATCTATGCAATAAACAGTTCAATCAAAGAGTTAGTTGGAAAACGCATATGAAGTCATACCATCCTGACCTTGTTAATTTTGAAGCGACAAAAAATAATAACGTCAAAATTGTTCTTAGCGTTCTAAAACAAGACCAATAAACTTTTGATATAGATAGAAAAGCAATTTAAATAAATTTTTAATATAGTACAAGCATTTTATAACAGTTTACACTATTTATAAATAATGACACCAATTATTTGGAATTTGTTATGAAAGGAAGTTTTTATGACAAATGAGGATGAATACTTCTAGCTTTAACAATGCTCCTGCGTCATTTCATGGATTAGGACAGTTGGCAATACGCTTAGTTAAGTTTACTTACCAAATAGGGTACGCGAGGTATTGTGGATGAGCTATAGAGACGTTTATTTTAATGTTAATGAAAGCAAATTTTGTTTTTAAAACACGATGTGAATTTATTTCTTTTTGTTTCATCTGTTCTGTTTAACAATAATATTTAGTTATAATAATTATATGCCAGTTTGAACATAAATTAGATTATTGTTGTACGGGGTATACTATGAAGGTTTTGATGTATAATTAATAAAGTATTATATATTGTTTTAAAATCAACTATATTTAACAAATGACAGATTTTTTTAAGAAATAAGAGTAAGAATAACTTATGATCATGAAACGGTTTGATCGGATCAAACCGATGATTAATTAACGCTTCGTTGGCGAAAAGGCAGTAGCAGACGTCTTGAGGTTTGTGGGTATTATAGGAGAGAAATTTTCGACTTTTTTGTTAGTTTTCACGTCCAAGTTGGCTTATATTTTCTTATCCCATTTACGATATTTTCTATCTCGAATCTAGGTGATTCCTTTTTCTCTAGTTATACTTTTTCTGTATAATACGTTTTCTTCCGCTAAAAAGTGCCGTACGCTAGAAAATAATTAATTCCAGTCAAATTCCAAGTTCTAATCTCGAACAGTACCAATATTTACCAAACACTTAGTCTTCGAATATAAATGTGTTGTGATTGTCTGTGATGACATGGCATTCTAGTCAAATCTCGCTCTTATCATGTAAATTATTTTGAAGGTTAAATCGACTGAGTGCTTACCGGTTATAATTAATAAATAAACCGTAAATGAATAAATAAGCTTCCGTTAGATGGCAGTATATTTATCGTATATACGCCAGATGTTAAAAAATATGTGCAGTTCACACGCAGTAGAAGTGAAACCTTTAGAAAAGGAGACCGAAATAATAGCTTCGAAGTGTACATCTATGGATTTAGCGTGCGAGAGAATGAGATAGAATACAGTATACATAATAACACTGTATACTCTATTCTCTCGCACGCTAAATCCTATAGATGTATACGTTTGTCTCTTTTACGTGTCGCTATTTCATCGAGTTTCAAATCACAATGGTTCTAAAGAAGTTTTCATTTCAAAAAATACTGTACTTCGGTCGTCAATCTGCCTGTTCCGAAAGGCAAACTATTTCTATATGGTTCTATATTCTATTACGAGAGCCTGTCATCAAACTTTTATATTCTCAAATCTTGTTTTCAAATGTTGTTTAAATACGTCATGACATAAAATAATGTTATTAACACGATATATTTAGTTTAGTTTTGTTGCATATGCGTGATGTCGTTTCGGTGCTAGCAATATTTCGTTTTTCTTTTTCTGTTGAAGTCCTTAATGACGTAATAAAATGCATTGTTTTAGTTTATTTAAAGTGAAATACACCGAAACCTCGTCACTGACCGTTTATAACCAGTCGCAAACAATTAATTGTGGGAAGAATATCATTGTTCGAAATAAAAAGTAAAAAATTGCTGACTTTTTTTATTTAACTTGCAAACTTTTCTTTTTTTGTAATGGGCTCAGACGGCTATACTTGCCAGTGCCACGTAAAAAATTATGCTATAAACTTTCAAAACTTCACAGTGTTGATGCGTCACATTGTGAAGTTTTTGGGAAATTTTAACGGCAGCTCGAGCCAGCAGCTACAGCCGATGACGATTTTATCACAAAGCGCCTAAGCAGGCACCTTATCTTTAGATTCACATCACCATCGAAATACTCGTTTCTTCGTTTCTCTTGTAGCACACATGAGCAGAAATTTAATTCACAAAATCGCATCACTTTTACGTATCAAAATCTACTTTGAACTATTATTTAATAATAGTTTAACAATAATACAGGAGCAGCTATTTGCCGCCGGTCAAGTTCTCGCCAAAAGCCTCGAACTTGCAAACTAAAGATGCCTGCAACCTTGAGAAATAAACATGTGAACATCGCTTATACGTACATGTAATATTATCAGGCATATCTTTTCCTTGCTAAATATAATGCATAAAATAACTATAGAACTTAACTACTATCTCTTATCACCTTGTGTGTCGTAGAGGCGACAGCGAGTATCGAATCTGAAGATGGGTAATAGCGTCTTCCTAATGACATCAAAAAAAAATCTGTGGTGGCAAACCCGCCTGCAAATGGTGGCATCTATGGCAAACTCCCTTTCCAAACCTCCCTGTGAGTAAATCTGAATATGATAAAATAATATGAGGTAACGGTAAATAACAAAAAACAAAACATATTAATAACTTTACCAATAACAAGTTTTTAGTATTTATAACATTTTATCGATGTATGAATAAATGCACGGAATATTTTCAATATAAGTACAATAATATTCCTGCATAAAAAGAATTTCAATATCTGGTGATCGGAAATTGATGAGATTCTTAAAAATGGATACGGTGGATCTCTACTCAAGTATTTGTAATTGTATACTATTAGCTTTTTTTTAAACGTTATTTCGATTTTCTCCTGTATCGTGAAGACAATTTACAAACAAATTGCACAAGGACAAAGGAGGGCCGCTTTGTCCTTTGCGCAGCCACTCACCGCTAAGCCACTGCGCCATTAAGACATAAATGACGGCGCTACTTGCCTTATCTAATGCTCCACTGATACAATAATACAGATTAAAAATCACTTTTTACACGGTATCAAACAAACTAATGGAGGAGAATTTAAAGTAATAATTATAGAATTAACGAAATCCTTCGAAGAGAAATTGCAGGCCCTGTAGTCACAAAGCGATTTTTTCTTTTTCTAGAAACAGTTCTGGTGAGTCGCACAGTGAAGGTAAGACGGAACGCCGAAGTTGTTTTACAGTATTCAACAGTATATCCATTTAGGCTGCGAGGGAAATACTTACTTTGCGTCTATTGCTGTGAGGAGTATGCTGAGCCAGCCGTGTACAGGCAACACATGGATGAAATGCACAAGACTTTCTCTCTGTCTACTGCGTTTGCTCACTGTGGTAATGGCAAGGAGTACCTCAAGGTCGATTGCACAAACTTGAAGTGCAGACTGTGTGCGGAACCTTTCAACACGATTGAAGAAATCGCTACACATATAAACAATTTCCATCCTAATGACAAGCTGGATACGGAATTTGAAATAGGACTTCAACCGTATAGAATAGATAAGGACAAATGGCTATGTTTTTTATGTGACATGAAATTTCCCACTATAACCAAATTGTGCCGACATACGACGTCTCATTATCAAAAGTTTACTTGCGAAAGCTGCGGCAGGAGCTATATGACTAACGAAGCTCTGAAGTATCACATACGCTGTAGTCATGCCGCTAAGCCACAGTGTAGGAAATGCTGGCAAGAGTTCCCTTCGATAGAGCTGAAGCGTGAGCACATCAGACGTTCAAAATCATGCTGGCCGTTCTGTTGTGTAGAATGTGGAGAGAGGTTTATGTCGTGGGAGTGTAAGCAAAAGCATCTAGTAGCGGTTCACGGTCAGCCGAAAGCGACGTACGTGTGTCCCGAATGTGGGGAGGTGTTCGAAAAGAGAAAAATATTCTACATCCACTTCAAAATGAACCACACCGACGAGAATTACATTTGTTCGTGTTGCGGGATGAAATGTGGATCGAAACTGCAACTAGACGATCATAGAATAGTTCACACCGGAGAGAAACAGTTCGAATGTAGCGTTTGTAAGAAATCTTTTACGAGGAAGAGGAGTCTGACTCAACACATGTGGATACATAGCGAAACGAAACGATTCTCGTGCATGATTTGCGACAAACAATTTGCACAAAAGGTTAGCTTAAAGGGTCATATGAAGTCACATCACCCGGAAATTTCTACGGATTTTTGATAATTATGTCTTCATTCAAGATAAATAAACTTACTTTGTTATTTATCACGATTATTTATTTCTTAGTTCATACCTTTTTGTTTAGTTCATATCTTTCTACTTTTAACACGCGATTGGCTTCTCATGCTTCTTATCTATGTAACGGAATCTCTTAATGTTCACCAATCTGTAGACGACCGATTGACTTGAAAATTTGACTCGTAACAAGGACCGATGACAACACTATAATTTAATAACTTCATCTTAATATCTCGATCAAGATAGGATAAAATAGTAAGCTGAGGATCGATGTATGTTGTTAAGGTTTTTCTAAAGTTTAATATTGTATTAGTGTTATATAAAGCTGCACGTGTCTTCCGTGAATTTTAGGTAGATTTATCCTTTTTACTGTATTCGGTATTATATCATCTTAATCATCATCTTAGGAAAGGAAATCACATGCCGGATTTAGAGAGTATTAGATATAAAGATAAAATCTGATAAAATGATGAGTGAAATTTGCCTGTATACCACACCAAGATTTACTTCTCACTTGCGTTGATTCGCGGCAAGCTTCCTTTCCTCCTAAATGGGGACAATCGTATGGACTGTTGTTATACTCTGTCACTATGGTAACTAAAGTATGAAACGTATCCATTAGTTCATACAATAAAAAATAGCCTCAGCACTATATCATTTCTAATCTGAGCACAAGCGGTATTCTGTCTCACTCATACCTAATAACACTTCCTTTTCTTACATGCTCTTACAAAACACAGCATTGTCTAAAGATACACCCTTGAAATCCTCGAAACCGTGAGTCCCGTTCTTTATTAGCGGAATATTTAAGCTTTCAAGGGTCATATTCAAACCGTTATAACTTTTAAACTATCTTACTTAGGGCTAAGATGTAAGACTTAATTTAAAGCACACATTTTGTACTAACGTTTAAAAAAACTTGTAGCTTGACAGTTTCGATTTTATGAAAAAGTTAATAATTAAAAAAATGAAAAAAAAAACTTATGTTTGGTTTAAAAATTCTCTTTCGCTCTTTTATAAAATAGAAACGGCAAAATTGTTATCATTGATTTATTGTCTACATTATTAGCTATCAAACGAGTCCTCTTTCGTCTTCCTAGGACTTCTACATGGGTAGCTATGGATTAATAAGTACAAGCACCCGTGCCTCGAGGCAAAAAGAAACCAACATGGCTGCATTTCACCATGGAGAGAGAAGAAAAATATTGATAGTGATTTGTCGATAAAATTTACCGTATTTCAACCCCTCAAAGTCTCTGATACCGATAACCGGTCACATTGTATAACTCAAATGTTTTGATTCAAGATTAGAACTTTTTCCATGTTCATCTTTCGAGCGAAAAAGTCTTAGTATAAATTACACTGTGTGAATTATAAACAAATCAATTTACGAATACATAGCTATAGAAGTATTAAAGCTCGGATAGCCAGAGCCACAGTGGCTAGTTTCTTCCTGATTCACTTTTTTCACGTTGATAACTCAAAAGCTAATGACCAGATTAGGTTGAAATTTGGTATATATACTAACAATGAGTCACTCAACTAGCGCCTACCTGGATGAGTAAACTCACCCTCGCCAACCCCGCCATTCCGCGAACTTTTTGACCTCCCCTCGTAGATGTTAGCGTACTTGACATGTTTTCGTTTTTTTTTTATTTCTCAGACGTGTTTTTTTCATCATTATCATTTTTACATGTTCTTCTCAATAGTAAATTATTTTTAATCTTTCAAATCAAGAAAAGATTTTTAGGGCAACGTTGAAGTAAAACAAATTTAATGTTTGTACGCCTTTAAAAAATATTTAACTGTTGGCGTTACTACATCTGATTATTTAATGACCTAAATAATAACACTACTCAATTTAAGATGTCGTAAAGTCTCGTGGTGTCACAGTCACTTTCATTTAAAGTAAAAGAGACATCACGAGACTTAACGGGATCTAAAAATTAAGTAGCGTTTTATTTGGTCTTGTCATTAGATCAGTCTATACACTGTGTAGTGGCGGCTTAAAAGTATCTACTAATACCATCCCGTGGGCGTCGTCGTAAGAGGCCACAGAGGGAAACTAAAGCAGTATTTGAGCAGCAACGTCTTCCTGATAACATCCAATAACAATTACACTTAATGTAAAAAAAACAATAACAATTAAAAAATTGTCTGCCAAACATGGCTGGTAGCTATAATAAAATTCCGACGATGAGGAAATCTATGGGCGAGGCCTATATTCAGCAGTGAACTTGCTAGGCTATAATGAATGAATAATAATTATCGGTATTAAAACATGACGTATGGATTATGGATTAAGTGAAATATTTGTCTAAGTTTAAATTTATGTATTAGTATGCTAGGGTTGAATCTGATTGACGGGGTGAGAAATTGCGTGATAAGAGATAAATGTGGTATGCAAGATGATGTTGTTGTGACTAGGATTAAGAAAGCAATGCTTCGGTGGTTTGGTCATGTAGAAAGAATGAATGAGGAAAGAGTGACAAAGCAAATTTATATGGCAGATGTGAACGACAGGGTCGGGAAGGGACGTCCTAGAAGAAATTTTATCGACCAAATTGGTGATATTTTGAAAATGGGCCACACTAGAAGTACCCTTAACCGACGAGCGTGTATGCGTAGATATATGGATGTAAAGGAGGCGAAAGAGGTATCTCAGGATCGTGCCAAATGGAAGTCCGTAGTCTCTGCCTAGCCCTATGGGTGACAGGCGTGAGTGTTTATGTTATGTTATTTTTAATTTACTTAGCTAACTAAATTTAAATTAACTTAAATTGGTAGCTTAGTTACAAGTTATTAAAGTTCACCTATGACGATATGCTCCTTGTAGAATTTGTGCAAGATCTGTATTAGATACAACATGAGTGGCGCAAATAAATTAATGGCAAAGGAACGACAAAGAATCTTAATTTTTTCGTGAATCTGTTGGGCAAATGTATTTCCTCCATAACAACACCTAGAGCGAAATGTACAGGAACAAAATAATGAAGCAGTTCTTTTCTTTGTTTTTAGGGTCCAGAAAGGAAATTGACGGATTAAAGAAAGAGAATAAACCAAAAAAGAGACTCTTTGAAAGGTCCGTCAACCAGAACCCTCAGCGGCAAAACGCCGTGCTGCTATTAAAGTATTCGACTGCCTTTCCCTTTAAAACGCGCTTTAACAGAATTATTTGCTCATACTGTCATGATGAGTTCGAACCTATGGCAGCTCTACGAGAGCACATTAAGGCAGAGCACTCAAATGCCGATTTCAATAGCGCATTCTATAAAGTCGTAGACGACTTAAAAATAGACATATCTCAATTTAAATGTAATCTTTGCTCACAGGATATGCTAAATGTAGAAACATTTATGATGCATATCTCTCGCGATCACAGCGTATCTGTCAATTTTGACGTACCGTTTGGGGTGTTGCCATACCGACAGGGTCCCACCGGGCTTTGGATGTGCCTGGACTGTGATAAAACTTTTACCGAGTTCTCACAAATCAACGGTCATTTGCGTAGTCATGTTAAAATATTCACATGCGACAAATGTGGGGCTACTTTCTTATCTGAACATGGGCTGCGGCAACACGAGCGCCGCTTCAAATGCTACAAATCAACGTATAAACCTCGATTCGGTAAAACCCTTAAGCATCGTAGCAATACGGAGATAATCCTGCAGTGTTCGACGGCTTGCCCTTTTCGGACTTGGGGACTAAATTTCAACTGTGTGCTCTGCCGCGTTCAGTCAAATGACCCGAACGGTTTAAGGACGCACATGGCGACCCGTCACGCAAATTTTGATATTCAACTTGTCTTCAGTCGGAAACTGCGTAAAGAGTTCCTCAAAGTGGATATCAGCGATCTCCAGTGCAAGTTGTGTTTTATACGTATCGATACTCTGGACGATTTGATGACGCACCTCAAGAACGATCACAAGCAACCTATCAACTTCGACGTACAGCCCGGCGTGTTACCGTTTAAACTAAACGACGGCTCCAGTTGGAAATGTGCTATATGCAAGATGCAGTTTCCAGATTTTATCTCCTTGAAGAAGCACACCGCGGAGCATTACCAAAACTTCGTCTGCGATACCTGCGGCGAAGGGTTTATCACGGAGTCCGCTCTGATCGCGCATACTCGGATTCCACACGGCAATAAGTACAGTTGTAGTCGGTGTGTAGCGACCTTCTCCACCCTTGAAGAGCGAAACGTACATATCAAAACACAGCACACAACATTGCCGTACATGTGTATGCATTGCAAGGATAAGCCCCGTTTCGGTACGTGGGAGCTGCGTAAGCGACATTTAATGGAGTTTCACAACTACAAGCCGGGGGCTGAAATGTACGAATGTACCACTTGTCACATGATGTTTAAAACGCGGTCACAGAAATATCATCACAACGTTAAAGCGCATCGCACGAAAAAGGATTCCGAATATGGTTTTCCGTGTGGCAGTTGCGCGAGGGCATTTGCGTCTAAAATATCTTTAGATAAACATATTGCTAAGAAACATTTTCACATGTTATAGTGTGGTATGATTTTGTATTTAAACGCGGCTTACTTAAATGTATATATTTGTTTTGTATCAGAATATAGCCTATTAAAAATCACTGCAACATAGGCCTCCTTATAGAGGAAGGATAGTCGCTGCGCTAGCGGGTGGGTTGACGAACCCAATTTTATTTGTTATCAGGAAGATGCTGCTGCCCCTATCCTGTTCCATTTTATTATATGTGAAGTGGAACAACACAGCTGATATATTTTTTATTGATCTCAATATGCTTTATATGCTATTCATGGGTTGACTTCATCCGCCAAATGCGTCTATATTTAAGTGAATACTAATAGTAATAATAAATAATGTCATCCAGACTGAATTTAGGTCACGGCGGCCAGTCTCAGCGGAGCCTAGCTATCTGCGCAGGACGCGATTATAATGCCCAAGTGTATGCGCAAGCACAGGTGCACTTTAACCCATGTCGCATAGTCCGATGGAACGGTAAACCTACACCACCGGAGAGCGATCAGGCGCAGTACCAACGGATTTACGTGCTTTCCGAGGCTTGGCGGTGAGACACTGTCAACTTCCTGACTCCGGGTTGACACAAATTTTGGACAGAAAAACTATACTATGGCCGAGAGAACTCGGGGCCTCATGATCAGCAGCCGTGTTGACAAACACTGGATCAACGAGGCAGCGTATACTACACATGCAACAATTTTTAATTTTAATTCGTAAAGTTACGAGTGATAATCAGTAACGAAAAGCTTGGGTCTGCATAGATCGCACCAAAATTAAAATGATATTAGAATAACAAACACTTCAACCGCCTTGTGGCCAGTAAGTAAAGTAAGTAAGGGCGCTAGACATGGCCAACTAAGCGAAATTCTTTGCATTAACTCAGTAACTCAGGCGTAGTTCACTGTGCCCCGGCCCATTGCTTTAAATCAAAATTGCGCCATGAACGCCACGCAATACATTTTACACAGCTGTCAACGCAGCCATCTGTCAACATAAAACTTTGTGGCCAGTAAATAAAATAAATCTAGAAAGGAAAGAATATCTTTCACTGTCACTCCTTTTACATTTCATGGAATTGCAGTTTTTTTATATGATAAGGATGACTAGTGGGCTAGTGGGCAGGGCACACAGCCCACCTGATGGTAAGTGGTTGCTGTGTAGACACCTACATCTCTATCTTAGTTTGCGAATCAAAATGTCAGTCGTGAGCCGTTTTCTACACTTAGCATATGAAACACGGCAGCATCGAGCTGCTATTTTACGCTGGAATTCTGTGAAAGCGTGGTCCTTCCTGGGTGGAGCCGACCCTTTAGTGCTACAACCATAATATAGCTGCAGCATGGCTCTACCACGTTTTGAAAAACGGTAAAAATCTCGTAGCCTTGCTTTGCCAGATTTAAAATATTCTGACCGACGACGGAGAGCAGCGTGAAACGAAACGACTTGGGCTCCGCGTTGGTCGACAACCCACTTGCCAAGCGTCATGATCGTGACTGATCATTCCGGGGATGAACTCTTGGGGTCTGTTCAAATAGAAGTTTCAAGAGTAACGGATTATTTTTTTCTCGAAACGAGGTTTATATGAAAATGCGTCATTCTGGAGTTTGTAGAATGTACTTGATTGGCAATGGTTCTTTGTGCACAGCTATGAATAAAATGTGTCAAAATGTAGTGTAATTATTTAAGCTTTAACTCTAATTAAAACTTGAATATACTCGGTTAGTTTGTAATAAATGATTTTGTTTAATTTAAATTTTGTTAAATTTTTCTTACGGATGATGGACAAAGGCCTTTCCCCAAGGTACGCTACTTGGTCCCATCTTATTTACTTTGTATAATACCAGCAGTTAATCTTAATCTTACTATTTATAAATGCTTAATAAGTGTTTTAAAGTCAATATGTGTAAAAAATTATGGGTATAGTTTGGTTATATGAAAATTATGTTTTAAATATGGGATACAAATAATCCTTGCCCACGTAGTAAGATGGATTTTTTGAAAGTTGAGTTTTTTTATAAAACTGAAGTTACAAACGAACATACAGTCCACTTGATAGTAAGTGACTATTGTAGTCCATGGACGGCTGCAACTAATTTCAATTAAGGAGACTACGAATGCCTCAAAGTCTTTTTTTTTTGTTTTGTTTGTACTGCCTCGATTCATTGGCGCTACGAAGAGATGGTGCATATCTTTGCATTTTATTTCGCATATACCACGGGGAGTGCTCTGAGGAATTGTTCGGATTAATCCCAGCCGCCAAATTTCGTGAACGCACTACGCGGCAAACGTTCCGATACCATCCACACCATCTGGATGCTTGGCGGTCCACCACTGTACGTTTCACAAGGAGTTTTCTTCCGCGTACGACCTCTCTGTGGAATAGCTTACCACGGGCGATTTTTCCGGACCGATACGACCTAGGGACCTTCAAGAAAAGAGCTTACTCCTTTCTAAAGAGCCGGCAACGCACCTGCAATTCCCCTGGTGTTACGGTTGATCATGGGCGGCGGTAGTCACTTAATCAGGTGAGCCGCAAGCTCGTTTGCCTCCACTTCTATAAAAATAAAAAAAATACACAGCAGTGAAGCAGGGAACACATCAGTGCAAGCACTGCTATTTGGCGGCTGAAGTAGTTAAGTGGGTGGTATTTACCCAGATAAATTCCTAGCCGGAAAAGAGCCCTACCATTAAGAAGTTCCTAACAAATATAATAATAATATTGTTAATTAATATCAATATAATTTTGCCTGTTGCCACAACTGGCTGTAGTTTCTAATAAATACAACAAAAATATTATTCAAATTCCGTAAGAATTTTTTTACTTAAATTCAGGTCTTAATAAATTCTACTTTTTAACCAACTTCATAAAGGAGGAAATTCTTAATTTGACTGTTTTTTATGTGTTGAAAGCTGGTGCTTCTCGTCTGGTCGCATATAAATTTGATCAATAGGTAGTTTTTGAGTCATCCTTATTAATGCGTATTTAATTGACTTTGAATACATTGATGATGTTCTCATTTTATTTATATTGAAGTCAGTTGTACGAAATTTTTATTGTCACCACTTGTTTTTCTTATCTTAAATTCGCGAAAGGACGAGAATACGAGAGTTTAGGATTCAAAAGAAAAATTACGGCGGTTATGTAGTTTTTTTGCAGCGTACTTATTCTTAGATAAATGGTGAAAGTTACTCAGCGAAGTTTTTAGTCGTGTATGTTACGTAACGTTGAAGATAAAACCGACAGAAAACTTTTTCACCCCTATTATAATCGGAGTTAAATGCTAAAACGATTTTTTAGATTTTGCTGTTCATAGAAGTCCGCTGTCATTGTCGAGATCCAGAAATCACCCGTGCTAAACCGAGAGGATCGCTAGTATAAAATAAAGTAGTTTTGCCGCAGCGTCACTACTGTATCGGACATGTGAAGTTCGCCAACACGCATTAAAACCCTCTCAGAAATGAGGGAAAGCCAGTGCCCAGCAGTGGGACGTATATAGGCTGTAACTTTACTTTACTTTTTCATATCCGCCATATTTATTTTCCGCGCAAATGTGACAAGTTACAAACGACCAAAAATTTACTCTCTTATTGGCCTGCGCCGAAGTGGGGCTTGCATGAAAAGATGACTGCAATGTGCCTCGTTTGAATGTAAAAATACTAGGTCAGTTTTATTATAAGAAGTGGACAACGAATTTTTGAAGCTTAAATAACACTTTTCTATTTTTAGGAGACCAGGGACAAATGGAAGATGAGAGTATTGTTAAGGTAGAAACCAATGATAATATACCATTAGGGGAGTCTATTAACCTTAAGGAAAAACGACGCTATATCAGGAGCGCACGAGCCGAAGCGAGAATTGTAACAAAGAGAAACGCCAAATCTCTGTTGGAATGTTGGTCCTTGTGCCCGTTTAGATGGCAACGGAACCGGTTTAAATGCGCATTCTGCGAGGAGAGCTTTATACAGTGCAATGATCTGAGGGAACATGTTAACGAGTGCTCATCTAAGCATAACGTCAAGGATATTTACAGCAAATTCAAAGAAATGTCCCTCATCAACGTAGACATCACAGGTGCTTCGTGCCGTCTCTGTAGGTGTCCTTACTCCGGGATTAACCAAATGCGACAGCACGCCGTCCAGCACGGATATGAGTTCAACACGTCTCAGCCGGACGGTGTCCTGCCTTTCAGTCTCGACAAGGAGTGCTGGCGTTGTGTTATATGCCACGAAGATTTCAACAATTTTCTCAAGCTCTACGAGCACATGAATGTTCACTACCAACATTATATCTGCTCCACTTGTGGGAAAGGTTACATGACCGCGCCACGTCTGAGGAAACATTCCGAGGTCCACATAACAGGGTCGTTCCCATGCGATAAATGCGATAGGGCGTTCACGATGCGTGCAGCTAGGGACCATCATAAGGCTCACGCCCACGCGAAAGGTCCTCGATACGAATGCCCACATTGCAACATGCGTTTCAACGGGTACTATGACAGAATGAATCATTTGAACGAAACGCACAGAGAGAAGGAGGTATCTTACCGTTGTAACGTCTGTGAACTGACGTTCAAAACGAGCGGTAGACGCGCAATGCACATAAGAACTGTACATTTGCCGCAGCCTCGTAACTTCGCTTGTCCGTATTGCGAATGGTTTTTCAAAACGCGCTACGAGCTGAAGAGGCACATGGTGAAGCACACGGGCGAAAGGAATTATTCTTGCACGATCTGCGGCAAGGCGTACCCGAGGAACCGGGCTCTGAGGACGCATTTGAAGACCCACGAGGACCTCACGTGCAAGTGGTGTGGAGCCTTCTTCAAACAGCGCGCTCAATTACTGACGCACACGCGAATCAATCATCCGGATTTGAGCGATTTGATAGCGGTCGGCTCGGATAAAATAGCTTGTTAATCTCTTCTTAGCATGGATATAAAAGCTGTTAAATATTTTTTTAATGATCCAGTATTATTATTTTTAATAATTTTTTATTGTGACGCAATTTTGCATTAATTATATGGTTATTAAGGATTTCGCTGTTCTTATTGGTACGTCACCTTTCCAGCCATCGTCTTGTTGAGGTATAACCGATGTCGATACCGCGTATCCTTGATTTGTCAGTGTATTCTATGCGGTTGTTATATGTCGTGTGCCGTGTAGTAGCAGAGTAAAAGTATCCTCTACCTCGCCTCTTACGACACCCTGTTGATGATCACAAGGGTGTCGTAAGAGGCGAAAGTGGGATACTGAAACAGTAGATGACTAGTAGCACCTTTCTAACAACTCTTAATCTGTGTTTGCTAACGTCGTGGCAATCACGAAGAATCCCCTTTGAGGCAATTTATCCATACCAAATTTCCCCATAGGGGAAGACAAGTGGCAAAAACAACATAAACCAACACAATACTGAAACGTAGTAAGACTAAAATATTGTTGTATGAACATTTTGTCCATAGGATCTTGGAATATATTTCTGAAACAGAATCAGAAACAAAAACTTTTTTATTCAATATGGATTATAAAAACTTATTGAAAGTCACTTTTTTTCATTTACCGCTGGTTCTCAAAAAAACCTCTGTCCTGGGAAGAACCAGCAAGAAACCAAGCGGGACTATTTTTTTAAATAACAGCTTACAATTATGTATGCTACCATTAAGAACACAGTTGTATAAACATTTCGTCCATAGAATCTGGGAATACATTGTTGTTTAGACATTTAGTCCATAGGATCTTGGAATACTGTAGCGTAGGGTAGCGTCCATACAAATCTGTTCATTTATTACGATTAGAAGGCATACAAATACATTTTATGTGGGCGTCTTATTTAATATTAGGAAACTTATTAATACTATTATAAACTTATTAATATTAGACCATTTTTGATGAGATAAATCTTTGACAACTTACGATACTCACGCGGCGATGTGAGGCGATCGGTTATCTTTGTAGTCAACACAAGTAACCATTCAGCGAATCTATCATCGCATTTTGTCACTGTTCCAGATGATGGTGGTATAGCCACCACGTCACCACATACTTCAGACGTAAAATACTTAGGCCGGCAAGAGAATGTTAAAGATTAAGGTAAAACGTGCCTAAATTGGAAAGGCCTATATTTGACAGTTTTCTTTACGGGCTGATGAGAAGGTTCAATCAGAACCACGCATGAATCTTTGGGTTGGGTACCGTTTTTTATTTTTTTATTTAGTAACTTGGAACCGTTTTGTTTCTAGGTTCCGCAAATGCGGAAGCGGTGGCAAACGTAGTTAAACGAGTTAGGAAGTTGAAAGAGAACGTAAGTGCGCGCCAAATGCGAAGACGGCGACGTGCCAACAACCAGCTACCGGAAGAGTCGGAGAGGCGAATCTCGAAAACAATGATGAGAAGGAACACCATGGCCATCTTAGAATGTTCCACTGCTTGGGCCTTTCGATGGTTTCGCAATGCCTTTTTCTGCTCCTATTGCGATGAAAAATTTGTCGATCCGCAGCCATTGCGTGAACACGTACTCTCATCCCACATCAGCTGTTCCCCCACCGTGCGTATATTCTCGAAACTGACAGAGAACAACATGGTGAAAATTGACATCACCAATCTAAGGTGTAGGTTGTGTAACTATGGATGCAACAACATAGACGCACTTAAAAATCATTTAAAAACTGCTCATAGAAAAACACTTAATAGTGAATACAGCGATGGAGTTCTGCCATTCAAATTAGATGAGATCGGATTCTATTGTCAGGCGTGTTTTGAGTATTTCACTAGTTTCGCGAAGTTGAACGAACATATGAATTCTCACTATCAGAATTACATTTGTGACGCCTGCGGGAAGGCTTTCATTTCGAAGTCTAGGTTCAGGACTCACGTGGAGTCACACGAGATCGGGAGTTTCCCTTGCGGTGAATGCGACGAAGTATTACAGACACGGGCGGCCCGTACGTGTCATAGAATGAAGGTACACCGAAAAGGTATTCGGTACACGTGCCCTCGATGTCCTGCAGTGTTCACCGCGTATTACGCGAGAGCGAGGCACTTAGTAGACGGGCACGCGCAACAGAGGATGGATTATGATTGTACCACGTGCGGTAAAACTTTCGAGACGAGTTGCAAACGGGCGGCGCACATCCGCGTAGCCCATATGCCTGTCGAGAAACGATACGAGTGCCTTTATTGTCCGTCGTACTTCGTCAGCAAATCGAAACTGCGACGTCATTTACATGCGCACAGCGCTGACGACCGAGCGCAAAACTACACAACGGAATAAGTTTTTTTTTTACATATCAGATTTTTATTTTTAGGACAAGAAGAAATCACTCCGGATACATCAGTAAAAGAAAAGTTAAATATAAAATGGAAAAAGATACGCAGGGTTGCGGAAGACAAGGCTAACGCAGCTATTATCTTGCAGAATTCCAACGCTGTTGCTTTCAGATGGCATCGTGGAAGATTCATGTGTGCTTACTGCCCGCTCATTTGCACAAGTGTCACAGAGATACGTCTGCATTCCAATGAACACGCTAACAAGCAAGACATCTTTCTGAATAGTGGAGTCCGCAATTCTTTCCCATTAAGAGTTGATGTCACGGATTTAACTTGTATGCTATGCTTTGACAGAATCGAAAATTTGGAAAATTTTAAGGTTCATCTGTCAAATAACCATGATAAATTCCTCAATCCCGACTATAGTGACGGCTTAGTGCCATTCGTGTTGACGGGTAAAGACTATAAATGCGTTAATTGTGGCACATTGTTCGAGAACTTCATGAGCCTATATATTCACATGAATGAACATTACCAGACCTACGTATGCTATACGTGTGGTAAAGGTTATTCCAGCAAACATAAATTAAGCGCTCACCAAAAGTCCCACGAATCGGGTCAATTCGAATGTACCAAATGCGACAGTGTGTTTTCAAACCGGGTGGCCAAATACAGACATGTGTCCAGCGCTCACGGGCCCAAGGAGCGCTATCGATGTCCAGTGTGTGGAGATCACTTTGATTCCTATCATTCCCGCTTGAGACATCTCGACAGAATACATGGACAGAAGGTTGAATACCAGTGTAATATGTGCCCTTCTGTATTCGGAACCGGCACTTTGAGGAATTCTCACATGAGAGTCGTTCATCAGAGGAAAAAATTAAAGTAATGAATATTAACATATTTTATAAATGTATTCTGTAGAAGAAGATTTAAATAAAGATGTTTAAAATCAACGTCTGTTTATTTTTTATCTATGATATTTTTTTAAAGATTTTCATAGTCCAAAAAAACAGAGCGACAAAGTGACACGGAGTTTTCTTTTGTTTTTAGGGCCCAAGGAAAGCAATGTTAAATGGAAACCAAGACGGAAGTTTAACGATCACAGAGATAACGCTGCTATTATTCTCGAATGTTCCAACGCGTGCCCATTTAGATGGAAAAGCGGTGCGTTCGTCTGCGCATTCTGTCCGAACTCGTTCGGGGACTTTACGGGAGTCAGGGAACACACTTCAGAACACCCGAACAGGGTTGAAGCAGTACGCTTAGCGCGTCCCTTCGACACAATAAAAGCCGACATAACAAATCTCAGATGCGATCTATGTTTACAAATCGTAAAGGACTTAGATGAGCTCGCTGATCACTTAATCAATGGACACGAGAAACCTATTGTCAAAGACCGCGGTGTCGGCATCACTCCTTTTTATTTGAAAGGCAAAGAATTTATCTGTTCGCACTGCAGTGAACACTTCGATTTGTTCACTAATCTGAACACTCACATGAATCAACATTATAAAAATAATATATGCTATAAGTGCGGTAAAGCGTTCTCAGCCTCTCACAGACTGCATGCACACATGGTCACCCACGAACTGGAAGACGATGGGTTCAAATGCACTAAATGCGATGATATATTCGCCACTCGCAAACTCAGGAGTAGTCACATGTCCTATATGCACGGACCAAAGCTGAGATATAGGTGCCCGTATTGTAAAGATAAGTTTAAGGCGTACGGCGACAGAGCAAAACATTTAAAGGAAGTCCACGACAGGAAAGTTGAGTATCCTTGCCACTTATGTCCGGCTGTTTTTGCCCTTTGTAATCAGAGAACGAAACATATCCAGCAAGTTCATATAAAACACAAACCGTTTCAATGCGAGTACTGTGTGTTTAAGTCCTCGACGGCGGCCCGGTTGAGGAGTCACTTGGTCAAACATATAGGCATCAGGAAGTATCAATGTGACATTTGTAAAAAAGCCTATTGCAGGATCAAAACTCTGAGAGAGCACATGCGGATCCATAATAACGACAAGCGGTTCGTCTGCGAGTATTGCAACGCCGCGTTTGTGCAGAAATGCAGCTTACAGAGTCACATGAGGACACATCATCCGATGGCCCCGCCACTGAACAATACAAAACAATCTGACTTCAATGCCTTTAAATAAATTAGCTATCAATGTATTTCCATTCATTTTAAACAAAATTTCCCTTGATCATAAGTTATTTATACCTACAATTTTCCAAGTAAATCTTATTGCGAAAGAATATAGATATTACAAAGAAGAGCTTATATCGGATGTTTTCTTATTTTTAGGAAGAAAATGTGAAGACATACAGATTAAGCAGGAAGTGGAATCCGACTCTGAGAATATCAAAGCTGCCGTTATTGTGCCAGCTAGGGACGCGGGCAACGAGAGGCGCGCCGCGTTCCGGAATAATATTAAAATTATATTAGAATCGTGCACGGCATGTCCTTTCAAGTATAGGAAGGGGACGTACTTATGCTTTTTCTGTAAAACTTCGTTCCTTGAACCGGAACGCTTACGCGAGCACACCCAGCAGCTACACTCTGACGTTAAGCAACTGTTGAAGCCACGCAAGTACGAACCGCTGAAGATGGACTTCGCTGTGACGACCTGCAAAATGTGTGGCACTGCTATACCCGACTATGAGATGCTTAAATCGCATCTGCGCGATCACGGTAAAGTGCTCGACTGCACGCATGGCGACAGCGTGCTGCCTTACAGCCTATCTAAAGATGATCATCGTTGTCAGATATGCGGCAAGCGTTACGAGATGTTCCTTAGTCTCCACAAGCACATGAACGATCATTATGAACACTTTATTTGCGAAACCTGCGGCAAACGTTTCGCGACATCACAGCGTATGGTCAATCACGCCAGGACGCACGAGCGCGGCGAATTTCCGTGCAAACGGTGTCAAGATTCGTTCCCTTCATACGCCTCTCTGTACGCCCACATAGCCAAGGTTCACCGATCGAATAAACGGTACAAGTGTCCAATATGTGACGAAAAATTCGCCTCGTATAAACACAGGCTAAAACATTTGAACACGGTGCATGGAGAGAAGACAGCTATATTTCCTTGTCCGTCCTGTCCGCGTGTCTTCGACCTGTGCAGTCGGCGCACAGCCCACATTCGCTTCCAGCACTTGCAGGAACGGAACCACTCATGCTCGTTGTGTTTCATGAAATTTTTCACTAAATACGAGCTCCAAGAGCATTCGATAAAGCATGGCGGCGAGAGGATTTATCAGTGTGACGTGTGCAAGAAGTCCTACGCCCGGTTGAAAACCTTACGAGAGCACATGCGGATACACAATAATGATAGACGATTTGTATGCCCCGTATGCGGGCAGGCGTTCATACAAAATTGCAGTCTGAAGCAGCATGTAAGGGTTCACCATCCGAGTCACACGAAAACAGACGTATTTTAGAATTCTCAAATCTTGCAAGAATGGTTGTGCCGGTCACTTACATATGTGCAAAGATTTGTTTACATAAATGACGTATTTTAGGGTTCTATCAAACAGGAAGCGGTCACGCGTTGAAGCGTTCCGCGTTCGCGTTTTTCGTTCGAGCGTTCAGTTGCTCAACAATCACGAACGCCTACGTTCTGGTTGACCGACGCGGTCAGAATTCCTGCTGTCTGAGTATGTCTAAGTAACGTAATAACACAAAGAACGCAGAACGCGAACGCGGAACGCTTGAACGCCTGAACGGCTTCTGTCTGATAGATCCCTTAGGATTGCAAAAGTGGTTACGCTGGTCACTTACATATGTGCAAGGACTTGTTCACGTGTGTGTACAAATTTTGCATGTAAAACAGGAATATATACATTTGCATCACCATTTACGAATCTAAACAGAAATGGCTAATGTGATTCTAGCCTGCAAACCTGTAAACGATGGGCGACAAATATATGAGTGCAATTGGTTTATTTTACCTCCGATCTGAGCTCCTTTAATTTTATATATATCATAACTATATAAAGTAGATTGTAGATTGCGATTAAGAAAACTAATTTGAATGAGCAGATTGTACAGATGTATGGTTTGGGGAAGAAAGGCAACTAGGATTAGATATCGAAAAACTTATATAGATAAGCATAATGGCAAATATTGTAAAAACTGTGCTGATTTATATGTAAATACTTAATAAAACTTCTGGTTTTGTACATTTGTCCATAAGCACGTAACCGGTATAAGGTGAAAAATCGTCTTGCTGGAATAAGTAGAAGGCGTAAGTGGAAATTGTTCGGCGAGGCGTAGTGTAAATATATCAAAATTGCATATTATAAATAAACAGTTTTAAAATTAATAAAAATCCGAAGTGTAGCATACTTTCTTAGGGTTATTATAAATATAATCATATTATATAAATCTATACTTATAAATAAAATTGAGCATCTGTCTCCATCCATCCATAACAGCCTATATAAAAGTTCACTGCTGGACATAGGTCTCTCCTGAAGGAGAGACGAGAGAAATCTGAGGATTGTCTCATAGGAACGCACTACGCAGTAAACCTCACTATGCCATCCACACCACCACTGTACGTTTCACTAGGAGTTTACTTCCGCGTACGACCTCTCTAGTTTAGGAATAGTTTACCACCGGCGATTTTTCCGGACCGATACGACCTTCGCGAAACCTTCAAGAAAAGAGCTTACTCCTTTCTAAAGGGCCTGCAACGCACCTGCAATTCCCCAGGTATTGCGGTTGATCATGGGCGGCGGTAGTCACTTAACATCAGGTGAGCCGCATGCTCGTTTGCCCCCTTTTCTATAAAAAAAGGAAGGATTTTGTCATATTTGACACGCTTTGCGAGCGGGTTGTCAACCGCAGATTTTTAGTTGTTATCAGGAATAAGCTGCTGCCCATAACCTGTTTCAATTTCCCTCTGTCACCTTTTACGCAACCCACGGGATGATATGATGTAGTGGATATTCTTACACCGTCACTACATGGTATCTCTCTGTGTAGTGTCTGTCTTTAGTACCGAAATTACTGCCGTTTGCTGAACTGAGGTGATTATTTACATGCCGTTGAGATATGAACCGTTTTTAAAAATTCTGTCTGTCTGTCATAGCTAATCTTCGAAATGGCTAAACCGATTGAAATGAAACTTCACGAACAGAGAGAAAGAGAGAGTAATGCCAGAAGAAATCTAGGCTATCGCCTAAAAATTATTTTATCCGAAGAAAATGGATATATTAGAAAATACAAAAAGATTGATAAATAAACGGCCTTTCATTATCTTAATATAAATAACGGAACGTTAATAGATTCAGAAACAGATGGAGCCGGGTGGGGTCGCTAGGTACATTAACACTGCAGTCTCATGCCTGTAAACGAATTGTAGGACCACCTTTCACTAGATGGAGTGACGACCTGTTAAGACATGCAGAAAGCTCAGAAACAGAAACTATTTTATTCAATATGGATTATGAATAATACTTATTGAAAGTCACTTTTTTTCATTACCACTGGTTCGCTAAAAAAACTTTTGTCCTGGGTAGAACCAGCAAGAAACCCAGCGGGATTTAAAAAAAATAGTGTAAACGAGAGAGTTACAATCATGTATGTTACAATTAACAACATGAAACAAATTAGAAATAGCTTGGTAGTGATCACCCTTCCCAGGGTTTAATATCATCCATAAATTCCTTAATATTATAATAACCCATTTTCTACAAACTTGTTTAATAAAGTATTTCAACTTTATGTTTGTAAAATTTTGTATATTTTCTGGGATTTTGTTGTAAAAGCGTATACATCGCCCCAAGAATGAATGACTGACTCGGTGGAGTCGAGTAACTGGTACTACCAGCTTGTGTGTTTTCCTAGTATTTACAGAATGAATATCACTTATTTTTTGCAAAACTACTTTTATTTTTATATACGTACATTACATTTTCATAAACTTATTGAGAGGCTCATATATCAATTTCCTTAAATTTTTCTCTGAGCGACTTTCTAGGTTTTAAATCATATATTGCCCTCTTCTGTAAAACAAATATAATTTCAGTGTCAGTCGCGTGTTCCCATGGCAAAATACCATACAACATTATGCTATGGAAATAGCTAAAGTAAACTAGTCTAGCTGTTTCAACAGTGGTTGAAGTTCTTATCTTTTTTATAGCATATGCTTCAAAACTAAGTCCTAATTCCCAAGAAAAATGTTGGTATCAACAAGATTCAGCTTCCTCCCCATTTAAAATTACATTAGTATTAACATTTTGACATTCGGAGTTACAAGTTTCACACATTTAGTTTTAGTTCCATTTAAATGCAAATATTAACACTAAACCAATTGACTAACGTAGCTATCGCATTATTTACTTCGTCGTAATTTAGTAACTGTCGTTTTAATTTGAAAATTAATGAAGTGTCATCAGCAAATAAACTATACCATGGTTATCCCTTACTATGTACGGTACATACACAAGAAACAGAAAGGGGCCGAGTATTGAGCACTCGGGCACGCCCAATTGTACTATCGACCTGGTAGAACTCATACTATTAATGACAACTTTTTGCGTTCTGTCACTGGAGACTAGCTATCTGTGCAGGACAGGACTATAGTGCCTGAGTGTATGCGCAAGTACAGGTGTACATTCTATTTCTTCACTCTCATAGTCCGATGGGACGATAATCCAATACAACCGGAAGGAGATCAGGTACAGGGCCAACAGTTTTACTTGTTTTCTGAGGCTTAGGAGTATAACACTGGCAACTTCCTGACTACGTGCTGCTGTTGATATGTCAATTGTCGTTTAAATATTTATCTAAAAGGGTTTTGGCACATTAAAGCGTAATTATTATTATTTTAAAAACCGCGTGGGTGCGATTCTGTTCATCTGTACAATGATTTGTCAATACAATTTGATGATTATGGGCGTTATCGATAAAAACCCGGCGCATCACTAAGCTTTCCCAAAAAAACATGCAGCAAAGAGTATAATCAATACGTTATAGTACATGAGTAAAGAAAAAAGTCTGTATATGCGAGCGAGACTGGAATACCATTGACAAAATTACACGTATAATTGCCGCGATTGCCACGTATGTTCGGTTACTATCTAAAAGTTCACTGTAGCTTCAGAAACTAGAAATCTGCATTGCAAATAATCTGCTTAAAACTTTTATTAATTTTTATATACCTGACTCAATCAATTTAAAAAAAAACATCAATTCACGGGCAGACATAAAAGTTTTATTTATTTATTTACTTAATACTTATTGGATGAAATTAGTTTGGAGTTGATATCTTATTTTTATTCTAGATATTATGCGAAACCAAAAAAGAAATCATACTTATTTTAAAAATCGAACTAATTACACCTATAACACATTTCAAATGTGTATTCTATTATATGAAAAATTTTATTAAGGTGCTACTTATAGCGAACGACTTTGAGCGTTCGGTTGCATACATACCACGCGCTCTCGCTACAATAAATCGCGTAAGAAATACTCCAAAAATTTTGGAATTATATCAATTAAAAAATAAAAGCGAACTTAAGAAATTAAATAAAACGTGAATAATATACCTAGATTTTTTAATTATCTATCCATTAGTGTAAACCTCAAATGATTAGAGCGTTGCCTTTAGCAACAGATACATGTAATCAATAATTTTAGTCATTTTTTAAAAGTTGATTTTAAATGTATTTACAACACATAAAAACAAATTAGAAGGTGGAATGATAGGATATCGAACATTAATAATATGATTTTATATGTAGTTTATTTCTTATTAACTAATGAGATAATAGTCTCTGAAAAATGCACTATCGCAAGGTTTTGGTCGGGGTATCGCCTTAGAATTGATTTTTACAGCAGTGTGTTCAGATACCTTTTTCTGTTTCTCATTTTTAGAATAATTAATTGTTCTATACAAGTACTACTTATTGAAACTCAATTATGCTTTTATCATTGGTTCAAAAACGCGGCTATTTGTTATAATAATTTATTTTTATATTTATATAATTTATATTTATAATTATACAACACGCCAACATTATGTTATTATATTTATTTTATATATAAAGGCGTTAGGTAACAGATTATAAAATATTTAGAAACAGTTATTTCGAAGAAGATCATTACGTATAAGTTGTATAATTTAAAAATGAAAAGCATTGCATGCAGTATACAGTTGTGTCGCTCATGCGAATATGTTTTCTCATTTATAGGTAGAGATACTCCATTGAACGAGAAACGAAAAAGTACGAAAGCTACAGAAAGTGAAATGAGGAACAACGCAAATATTAGCAATGATAACGATTCCATATTAGCGAGGAGACATAACGCCGCGATACTACTGGAGAACTCGAAAATATGTCCCTTCAGATGGATGAAAAATCTTTACATTTGTTTTTATTGCGATCAACAGTTTTCGGATCCCGCCATTTTGAGAGATCACACTATGCTTAACCACCCCGCACCGTCTTTGACCCAAATTAAGTACGAATTAGGCAAACTGAAAAAACACGAACTGATTAAAGTAGACATTACTGATGTCGGTTGCAGAATATGCAATGAACATGTGATTGATTTTTCCAGTCTTAAATATCATCTTCTGGAGCGACACGGTATAAACATCGATCCGAAATCGAGCGATGGATTGCTACCTTTCAAGGTCACGAAAAATAATTTCACGTGCACAATATGCGAGCAGAAATATGACGAGTACAAATCATTAAATCACCACATGAACGTGCATTTTCAAAACTTTTTCTGCGAACATTGCGGGATCGGTTTCATCACACCAGATAGGCTACGAACTCATTCGCTGTCCCATGAAACGGGTTCCTTCCCTTGCGGGAGCTGCGATAAAGTCTTTCGATCCCGAAATGCTAAAAACGAACACTACGCTACTGTTCACAAGAAGGTCAAACGACATCGGTGTCCACATTGCTCAGAGATGTTTCGTAATTACTTTCAAAGGAACAAACACGTCTCTTCCGTCCATGGGTTAAAACTGAAAGAGTTCAGATGCAATTTTTGCCCAAAGGTATTCACACTTAGCGGGAAATTAGGTGTTCATATCAGGACGGTGCATTTGAAATTAAAGCGACATGCTTGCGACGTCTGCGAGTGGAAATTTTACTCAAAATCCGAATTGAAAGAGCACATGGTCAGGCATGGTGGTGAACGCAAGTTTCAGTGCAATGTGTGCAAGAAAGCTTATGCTAGGAAATACACATTGCGCGAACATATGCGAATACATGAGAACGACAGACGATTTGTTTGCACTGTTTGCGGTCGATCGTTTGTTCAAAATTGCAGTCTTAAACACCACGTCAAAGTTCACCATCCGCCACCTTCGATAAAAACTATTTCCGCGTTTCAAGATGTATTAACATGAGAAAAACAAACAGTTTAACGTTGGAACATGTTCTGTTTAAGTGAAGTATACGCGGTAGTCGCGGCGTATTAAATGCGCGATTTGTGTCATAAAATTTTTTGATTATTGTTTTTAATTTTAAATAAATTAGTTTTAATCACACAATAAAGTATATTCTAACCTACCTATTTAAATTTGTCCGGTTGAACAATAACCTCTCGCCCATACATCAATGCGAAAGCTTAGTGATGCGCCGAATTTTCATCGATACGAGTACCTTAACAGCAAATTGTATTGTTAGAACAAATTCATTTTATATTTGAGAAGTAGTTATTATTATTTATATTTATAGTACAATTGCTACTTGATATGGTACATAATTAAATTTTAACTAGAGTAGGTTCTACTAAACAACATAGCAATAAAACACTACGTATTTAACATTAATAAAGTTTCAAATATTAAAATAGTAACAATTTTCACAAAAATATCCAAGAAGCAATCATCAGTATCCCTATCCTCTACAACGTTCAGTGATCGCATTCGAATTATTGAACGTACATAATTCCAGTCATCCTATTGCCAAGAACGTTGGCGTTCAATACAGCTTAAAATTTAGTAAACATTTCCTGCATTTGAAGTTATACTTAAAATAAAACTAGTTTTTACAGATTTTATCGCATATAACTAGTTATAGCTTAATATAATAAATCCAACGCGATAAACTCCGAATACGCGATAAAATCCGTAAAATCTAGTTATGTGTAGTGTTCGCGTAAATATAAGAAATCATTATCATTATTATGATTATCATTAATTATCATTATACATACTTAAAAGCTATAGGAAGTCGATTTTTATTAAACTACTAGCAACCCGCTTGGCATCGCCTGGCTTGGGTCTTGAATCATGCTTTTTAATTTTACAAAAAATATCTGTTTTTAGATAAAATGTAGCCTATATCTCTACTGGCATTGTTCTCTCTCTCTCTCTGTTCGTGAAGTTTCATCACAAAAGGTTCAGCAATTCCGAAGATTAGCCCAGACAGACAAAGAGACAGACGGACAGACAGACGGACGGACGGGACAGATGGACGAGACAGACAGACGGACGGACGGACAGACAGATGAAAGACAGACGGACAGATGGACAGACAGACAGACGGACGGACGGACAGAACAGATAGACAGACAGACAGACGGACAGACAGACAGACAGACAGATGGACAGACGGACAGACGGACGGACGAAGACAGACGGACGGACGGACAGACAGACGGACAGACAGACACAGATGCACAGACAGACAGACGGACAGAAAGACAGACGGACGGACGGACCGGACAGACAGACGGACAGACAGACGGACAGATAGACAGACGGACGGATGGACAGACAGACAGACAGACATACAGACGAACGGACGCGCATACAGAGAAGGGAACTATAATTTTAAAAATGGTTATGTCTTAATAGCATGCAAATAATGCTCCGAGCTTAATAAAAGAGATATTTCGTTCTTACAGACAGACACTTCATTTTTTTTGACTTGATTTTTCGCCAACTTTAAAAAAGCATTAAGTTCCGGATGCTGAGGCCCGCAGACATCTACATTTATCCTCGACTAAAGTTCAAAATGCAGATACGTCGTCAGCCCTGAGGACTAAGATGGAATGACTCCTTTCCAGTAAAAAAGGTCTTCGGTTCTCAACAATCACTATACGAAACACAGCAGCATAAGGGTGCTATTTTACGCTGGTATTCTGTGAGAGCGTGGTTCTAGCCCGGTCGAGGCGACCCATTTGTGCTACAACCATAATATAGCTGCAGTGTGGCTATAACATGTTGAATAAACTTCTCCTATTTATCCAATTATCTAATTAAAAACTAAGCAATCACCTTGAATTGCTTAGAAACAAGACCACAAAACATAACGCAATTTTCTTTCATGTCTATCACTTCTCAACTATCAAGCTGGTCAGTGCGCATTTTGCTTATTGAATAATTTATTAAAGCGCAGAAAATTGCACTTGAAATTGCAACACACAACAAAAACCCGTGATGACGTGACGGTAAGCTGTCATTTTATTGATTAGTGACGTCTGACATTTTTATTTCACGTATTTTTGACACTGTTGTGACAAATGACAGTTCTCTTTCTATGATCAATGGTCGCTTTATGATTTACTGTTATTGTCCCTAAGCACAGAGTAACTAAATCAGTAAGATGCAATGTTAAAAGTCGATAAAAATAATTGAAAAGATCAATTGTTTACCACGACGATACATTTAAATGAATTATCTGTATTTTTCCGAATTTTACAAATTTTTCTTTTTTTTGTTTGAGGTAGTGTACGTATATAATCTGTAATTTTCGTATGGTGTGCAATAAAGCATATTAAGTAATTAAATAGACCTGGCCCATTTTGAAACATCTGCTTTCACCGCAATCGTTTCGGTCCTTCCGAAAATTAGCCTGGACAGATAGAAAATTAGAAAAATATGGTTGTTTATCTCTTAAATAGCATGCAAATATCTCCTTGAGCTTAATAGAAGCCAGTATTTTAACGTTACGTACAGACACTTTTATTTGATTTATATACTGGATGACCTTTTTTACCGTCTGGAAAAAATAGGGTGTAACATGTGAAGGGAGTAGAAGCATATGACATTGATATTTTACAAAAAATAATGACAACAATTTTGAATTGCAAGTTGGAATTTTTAAAAAAAAAATTACTTTGCCCTTTGCCCTTGACCATGTGACCCAGCAAAGTGACAAGATAAATTATGCCTACTAAATTCATTGTTTTATTGCCGTTCGTATAGTAAGATGGATATGGTTTGAAACGATAGATTTTAATTTATTTATTTAATTCAAATTTTTCGTATTTATTTTTTGTAAAATATCAGTGCCTTAGGCTTCTACTCCGTTCACATGTCATATCCTAATTTTTTCTAGACAGTTAAAAAGGTCATCCAGTAAGTACTCGTATAGATATAGAGTAAGTGACGTTTATATTACAATCCGAATCGATTAAATGAACTATATTGCAAGTGATTTTTTCTATCTATCTTTAACTTAAGAGTTACTCAACCTTTATTTTCCTCTCTTACAGTAGAAATCTGTGTCCAGCCACGGTCTAAAGAGTAACTTTGATTCCCTAGTATTTAACATTCCTTTTATAAACTCTTCCACATGCCACATTCATAATGCAATATTACCTTACATCAATTAATATATTTATTGTACTTACATATTTTTTAATTATAAAATAGTTTAGCTGTTTTTTTATTCCACTAAGTAAACGTTATTGCAGTTGTCACAAATATTATATTATCGCATAGAGTCTGGTGCTCTAATTTGTAACAGTGAAATATGTTTAACTGAAGATGTAGCAACATCTAATTCATTATGAAAATACGATTCTAAAGGAACCATTCTACTTATCACAGGGAGTACACTAGTTAACTCACAATATTCACCTACATCAGAAAATATACCAGGACTTTCATCTTTATACAATTTGTTTGTTTCTAGGATCGGACAAAATGGATATACAAGGACCGGAAAAAAGGATCGTGCCGTTGTTCCAAGTGGAATACGACCGCAGCCTTTGTAGACCGTTGGGGACAGTAACCAACTTTAATAAGATGCTCGCTATGGCCAGGTCATCCAGAGTTATTGATATACCTTCGACAGCTTCACATAATTTCCTCCCTTCTAGAAGTCCTTCGCCTGTATCAATGGGCAACAGGACTCCGTCGCCCGATTTCACAGGTCACAATATATACGATAATATAGAAATTCCACCGCCGAGACAAATTTCGCAAAAACAAGCCGATAATCGGCAAAACGCACTGACCATCTTCGAGTACTCCACCGTGTATCCTTTCATCTACGGCAACAATAAGTTTAAATGCTTCATATGTTCTCAACCATTCCTAGAAACGCCACTGCTCAGGCGACACATGCAGGAAACACACACGTTTGCGCCCTTAAAAAGATTGGTAAACAATCGTAGGGAAAATGTCATCAAAGTGGACGTTAGCGAAATGAACTGCAAGCTCTGTTCAGTTAAACCTAAAGACTTGTACCAACTCAAAGTACATTTAAAGGAAGATCATCAAAAACTTATAGACCCAGAGCTAAAAGACAACATTATCCCATTTATATTAGACGGCGAAGACGGAGGGTATAAATGCGTCATGTGCGACGGAAGCTTCATTAAAGTCCGTACTCTTGTCATCCACATGAGTGTTCACTTTAACAACTACAGCTGTGAAATTTGCGGATCAGGTTTCATGACCTTGCGGCTACTTAAGAAGCATTTAGAGGTGCATGAAAGCGGCAACTTCCCTTGCGATCGCTGCAACAAAGTCTTCAGTACTACGTACAAGCTATCACTGCACATCAGAGGTGTTCATCTGAAACAATACCCACGTCGTTGTCCAATGTGTCCAGAAAGGTTCAATTCGAACTATAGACGGACCAAACACCTTCAGGACGTCCACAATCAATCGACTCGAGTGCACAAATGCGAGACATGCGGACGTGGTTTCAACCTCAAGTATCATCTGGTTTGTCATACACGTTCGGTTCATCTGCAAGAGAGGAACCATCAGTGTAAGGTTTGCTTGCAAAGGTTCTGCAATAAGGAAACACTGAAAAGGCATATGGTTATACATACAGGGGAGAAAAATTACAAATGTGAGATGTGCGGTCAAGCATTCCTGCGCAGAAAAAATTTAAAGGATCATTTACGGCTGCATGAAGTGCTTTGAATGGCAACAAAATAATTTCCACTTCACCTATTCAATACAAAACGTGTAGTGGCGGTTTAAGAATATCAACTAACCCATATCACCCCTGGGTGTCGTAGTAGGCGACAGAGGGAAACAAATCAGCAGATGGGCAGCAGGGTTTTCCTAATAACGACTAAAATATAAAAACTTCTGATTTCAACCCGCTTGCTGATGAAACTATAGCAAATAATAATATAAAAAGGGGGGATCCCCTATGAGGCAGTCCATGGGGGAGGCCTTAGTTCAGCAGTGGACTTCAATAAGCTGTAACGGTAACGTTAATAAAAACCGCGCTCTCTGGGAGTTGATTTAAGGTTTCCTGCCGAGAGCAACCGAACAATGCTCCGTAGACCGTTGGGGTAAGAATAAACTGCATTGACCTCATTACTGTTCACTTCTGTAAAAACGGACCCCAGTCAAGAGTGGGCTTATATAGGTTGTAATGTATGGATGGAACAACAAAATTTATTCTATTTACAAATGCTACTGTTTTGTTATAGAATTAGGCTTTGCAATCAGATCTCATCGCAAAAAAAGAGTTTTTTTTTAATGAAAAATATACTTAAATCTATCACAAGTACAATTAACTTAGCACTGTAAATGTAAATTAATAAATTATTTTGATAAAATATAAGAAAATGATCTGTTAAATACTCGTATTCTCCTGATTTTCATATTGGAATTAATATTTTATATGTGACTTTTATAAATTTAATAAATGTACATAACATTTTTATATTTTGTTTTTCCCTTGTCTATTTATTCACCAAATGAGTATTACAATTTCTTTATGTAAAGCTATGGTGCAACCATGTTTGCATGTTTGGTTGTAGCATGAATGGGTCGGCTTGACCGGGTAAAAAGCACGCTCTCCCTGTATACTATCGAAAGCAGCTTAATGCTCATTGCTGTGTTTAGTATGGTGTGTGTCGAGAATCGAAGACTCTTTTTACTGGGAACGAGGCATTCCATCTTATTCCTCAGGGATGACAACTCTTTGATTTCTTGACTTGACTTTTGATTCTTAATCGATATCTATAGCCAATAGCATTCAGTTGCCATCAGGTGGGCCGTGTGTTCATCTGTCAACCTTATTCTATTAAAAAATATTATTAACCCTACTCCTCGCGGTACCGTGATAAGAACACTGCATTATATCGTTAAAGTCTTATAAGGGTCATGCGAAAGAAACTAAGTATAGTCAATTCTTTTTTCAACTAATATCGATATTTTCAAATTATACACCTGTAGCACGTATGCACTTATCCATACTTCTAAAAGTCTAAACCACTTGGAAAATGTGTCAGACCATCTTCTATTTATAGAGACCTCAAAAATCTCGAAATGATAAGTCGTCAATGAATTTCATTTGTATTCTTATCTTGATTAGTCCTCTGAGGACATATAGACACATTTTTCGAAATATTAATAGAGTTTTGGCAGGCACTGGAAGATGGGATGCTTTTTTATTTATTTATTTTTATTACATAATTATGACATCTGTACTTAAACTGATACGATGCTATTACTTATACAGGTAGGAACACTAATAAATAATTAAGAATAAAAAGTTTACAAAGCATTTGTATACAGATACCGAAGATACAGAACTGTATGTAAGTGTTCTGAGAGATGATATTAATATAACGTTTAGAACGTGACAAATAGTGCGGTGAAGTAGGTTCGATTTAGCAGCGGGTACGACAGGTCGTTACTCGTTGGGAACGACAAAGAGAATATGCACCCAGGTACACAGCTTTAGCACATCTGATTCTGGGTGATATTTCCACCCACGTTACATATCCTTTTAATAAGCGCGCTGTATATCTTCATACTCAAGCAGCTAACACTTGGGTACATCAGCGTATAACAAGGATAGAGCCCGACTTTTGCACGGATTCGACAACTTGAAAGAAAAGCAGTAGCCTTTCACTCAAAAGTCGTGTTTTATTTTGATTTTTTTTCCACCATATGAATGTATTTGTTTTCATGTGGATTCCAGTTAGTGTGGTGCTAGAGAAGGTGTTGGTTTTCTGACTTTGATCCGACAAGATCTGGTTTGCTCTTGTCAAGCTCGATAATACTTTTGGAGCACACACTGTCAAACGCCACTCGTAAACCACTTTTTAATTTTCATCTTTATATATTAGGTTCCTCTAGCATCAAAGAAATACGCGGCAACCGCTTTTTCTGTGTTTCGGGCATGGATAGATTATGGTGGATTTCGCTCATCTTCAAAACACCACATAGTCGAATCGCTTTGTTTCGGGGCCATAGTTTCATCCTCAATCAGTATGTCGTAAAAGTATCTCATGAACCAATAATCTACAGCAAATAGCACAAATATGTATTCATTTCTTAGACACTCATGTTTGCGTCAATTATATAATTGAGCCACGTCAGATTAATGTTTTTGAATTAACAGCACATTTTATAAGTGTAAGTTACAGAATATATTCTTTTTCTAGGGCTCATCCAAATAACAAATTCGTCTTTAATCCTGAAAGACGATGACGGCTCTGAGATTAAGTTAGCAGTTTTGAAGAAACCCATTCGAATTGATAATTTAATTTGCCAATACGAAGAATCTGCGGATGTGGCATCGACAGAAATAACGTTAAATAAAGTACCTCGTGTGGAAAGAGATGCAGAAATAGATGAAGTTCCTGATCATGCAGTGGACAACAAGTCGTCGCTTATATTTTTGAAAGAGCCAATCTCTTTAGATGAAATTGGAATTGGAGAAAAAGTCTCAGTACAAAATTTGACGACTCGTAAAATATTTACAGGATACACTAGACCTCCTCGAAAAAAAATTGGACAGGAACGCCAAACTTGGAAGCAAAATGCGTTGACAATCTTCGAATTTTCGTACGTTTATCCATTTGTGCACGCAAGCAATAAATTCAAATGTTACGTTTGTTCGAAGCCTTTTTTAGACGCTAACATTCTTAGGGAACATTTTACAAATGACCACAGCTTTGAAGATTTGAGACAGGAAATTAGCAACAAGGTTCGAGACAAAACCTTAAAGGTAGACGTTGTGAGACTACAATGTAAACTATGTCATAATACTTTTCCCAGCTTGAAGGATCTGAAAGTGCATCTCAAAGATCACGGGAAGAAAATAGATCCCGAATTTCAAGATAACATTATACCCTTTAAGTTAGGTGGTGATATATTTGTTTGTCAAATTTGTGGAGAGAACTTCCGGAAACTAAGATTGCTTATAATTCACATGAGCAAACACTTCAACAATTACAGCTGTGAGATGTGTGGCTCTGTATTTATTTCTATCAATCTACTTAAGAGACATTTACAAACCCACACAGTAGGAAGCTATCCTTGTGAGAAATGCGATAAAGTTTTTACCAATTCCGCCAAAAGAATCAGTCATATTAGAGGGGTCCATTTAAAGCAGTACCCGCGGACCTGCCCATTATGCCCCGAAAGATTCAACTCGAATTACCAACGAAGCAAGCACCTCAGGATCTTTCACAACCAATCTAATATGTTTTATAGGTGTGAAACATGTGGAAGGCAATATGATTCGAAGTACCAACTATTTCTTCACAAGAGATCTGTACATATGCAGGAACGGAATCAAGAATGTGGGATTTGCCATTCACGTTTCTTTTCAAAATATTGCCTTTCGAGACATATGGTCATCCACACTGGTGATAAAAAGTTTAAGTGTGATGTTTGTGGTAAAGTTTACGCCAGGAAGAAGAATCTTTGTGAGCATGCAAAGGCACATGATGTCGAACAAGTAACTTGTTCTCTATGCGGCCGAAACTTCTGCGATCATGCAACGTTGATGACTCATATGAATACAATTCATAGTGTGGTATAATTGTAATATTATCAGCCATTTTAATCCCGATCAACGATAGAAAATTGTAAACGCGAAAAGAGATAATTCGTATTAAAATAATGTATTGCAAATAGCACTTGTAGTATTTAAACGGTCAAACCGATATATCTGAATTATTTAATGTGCATGGAAAGATATCGTGTGTTATTAAACGATTCGTCAGCCTGCTTGAATAGCAAATACCTTATAAGATGAACTTTTGTTTTCCCCAGGGATAACGGCAAGGCAGCACCGAGGGCCAAGGACTAGTATTTGGCAAATGACAATATCGGAAAGGCAAAACGCGGCAACGTTTCTAGAGTTCACTACAGTGAAACCGTTCTTTTATCAGCAAGCAAATTTCAAGTGTTTCTATTGCAATGAAGTTTTCCCAGAGGTACACTCTGTACTGCAGCACACTTCGTTCCACGTTGCACCTGATAGGTGTAGTTTACTGAAGCAACATTTAAGAAAAGGCAAACGGGTTATTAAAGTAGATATATCGGAACTAAAATGTAAGCTTTGCGATCAAAAATATTCAGATTTGGACGACGTCAGAAAGCACCTTTCTGTCGCGCATAAGAAAGAATTTAACTCTGCCGGCAATGGGCTCATGGCTTACAATTTGAGCACGGAAAATGGCCTCTTATCTTGTCATAAATGCAACAAGACTTTCAATTCATTCTTCCTCTTAAACCGGCATATGAATGTCCATTTCAATGTAGTCTGTGAGACATGTGGACTTGGCTTCATGTCACATCAGCGCCTCATTAACCACAGGATCGTTCACCAGAACGGCGTCCACAAATGCGATAGATGTCAGGACGTGTTTCCCACTAAACTGAAACTACGTTATCACGTTTTTAAGAAACACGAGGTAATGAACGCGAAGAAGACGAAGCCGCTGAAGTGTCCGCATTGCTTGGAACGGTTCGCCGAACACTACCGAAAAATGACGCATTTGAGGGAGGTGCACGGTATAACGTTTACGTTCGAATGTCAAGTGTGCAAAGCTGTATTTCCTATGCGTCGCGCGCTCACGGAACACACGACGAAACAACACACACAGAAGATTCAGTGCAAAGTGTGCGGCAAATGCTTCGGCACTAAATCTCTTTTAAAAATGCACTCGAGGGGACATACAGGTGAAAGGAATTTCTTTTGCGGAATATGCCAGAAGGCGTATATGCACGAGCGGACTTTGAGGCAGCATATGCGAGTGCATGGACCCGTCTGGAAGTTCACGTGCTCGGAATGCGGTAGCGGATTCCATATCCGCAATGATTATAACAAACATATGAAGCAATGGCACCCACATTGGCAATTTAAGTCTATCGTTAAAAACGCTGGAACTACTCCTATAAACTGAAAAAAATGAGTCATATTTAAAAATAACCACGTCGAGGTTAGATGTCAAGAGAGTTACAATTAATCTGGCTAGGATTAAAGGTAGTTGGGTTATTTTTTCCCGAGGGTACCCATTGCACTGCACTGTGCGTTAGAATTCGTTCGATATTTATCGTATTTGTATGATTATTTGTCATGGCACGCTGTTCTGTCCTTCACAGTAGGTGGCCCGATCTGTTTCACTAAGAATTCACCTCCGACTTTACAATGTAAATTTTATAAAATAAACTACTCAAAACAAAATAGGGCCAACCATGTTTTATAAATGAATTTTACAGATTTTTTCTTTTTTCGGTTTTTATGATTAGGAATGAATAAATTAAGGTTTTTTAAAGTGTGTGAACATTAACAAGAGTAAGTTTTGCCAATTTTATGGAATTTAGTCAAAATTTACGGTTTTTAGGAGTTACAGAAATTATTGATTTAGGTAAAGTTTGATTTTGATTTTTATTATTGACTAAATCAATGAGTTTGATGGTGCTTAATAGTTAATAGGTCCTCCTCTATTCCATATGCACTATCTGAATCTATCTGGGACACTTTCAATCAAGTGGGTGATGTTTTCCTCGGGTATTCGGTCCCAACACAATTTTAGGGCATTTATAAGCTCTTGTCGATTAGTCACATTACTGAAGTTCGATTTGAGGCTTCTTTTCAATTGGTCCCATAAATGTTCAATGGGATTAAGATCGGGACTCATGGCCAGCCGCGGCAAAACCGTAATATTGACTTCAGAGAGAGCTCTCTGGGTTGTTCGTGCTGTATGTGGGCGAGCATTGTCTTGCATAAAGACGAAGTTTTCACCCACTCTTTGTGGAAATAGGATGACATGGGGCCGAATTATTCGAACGACATACCAGGAGGCAGTTATGGAGCCTTCTTCCAGAATTACCAGCTCAGTTTTACCGAGCAAGCTTATCCAGCCCACACTATAACATTTGGAGCTCCAAAACTATCCGTTTCATATGTGCAAGGTTCTGAAAAACGTTCTCCTTCTCTTCTCCACACGCGCACTCGACGATCGCTGAAAAACTTCACTTGACTTTCGTCCGTAAAGAGTACATTTCTCCAGTTGTCCATTGTCCAATCCGCATGCTCGCGAGCAAACCTCAAACGTGCTGCACTATGCGCTCTTGTCAATTTTAGACGAATAATACGAGATCTGGAACGTTGTCCGTCTTCGTGGAGCCGATTCCGAATGGTTTGATCACTAATTCGTGTGCCCACTAAACACACACTAAACACTGCTCTTGTTGCTGTTCCCACATCCATATGATGCCGAGAACCAGGCATAATGATCGCGAGTAACACCGAAATCAATCCAAAATGAAAGAAGTAGACGTGCGACTGTAACATTAAGAATGTGACTGAGGGTACGAGTGACTGAGAATTTGAGTAATAAACGTTTTTTTGGAGTACTTCACTTTTTTGTCTACCCACCATTGAACTTCTGACTTAAAACATTGATAACATTAGATAAACATGTCAACAATACTTCGAAATGTTTAACTTCACTATTCTACTACCCAACAATTTTTAGACGAAATTCGAGATTAACTTAGAGGGGCCTATTTTGTTTTGAATAGTTTATGTAATGTATTAGACTCGATCACAGTGCCACCTATCGGTTCCAAGTAAAGCTAAGATTCATCAAACGCCACCACTTCACAAATCGCAATTGAAGATGGATGCACTTGTTAACACATCGGGTGCGTTTGGCAGAAAAAAGCGCTAGCAAGCGCTTGTAAGCAAAATGGCGATCGTAAGCGGTAAGCGCTGTCAAATCGTAAATAGCTATTTTCCTCCAGGACACGATGTTAGTTTTAACCGGGGAACCTAACCTAATTTAAATATATGTTTGTAAAGTATTCATATTAAAAACTTACTAATCATTAATTTTTAATAACATGTACTTATATGTTTATTCATGTCATTACATTACTTAAAACTAATATTGCACAAAACAACTTATAAACTCTACTTCAAACAAACAAAATAAATAAGCAAAATGGCGGATTGTGTCAGCGCTACTGAAGTAGCAATCGTGTCCTGGCCGAAAACTATTTCAGCGCTTATAAGCGCTTGCTAGCGCTTTTTTCTGCCAAACGCACCCATCATTAACATGCCTAAATAAAATAGCTAATCATCTATTCTTTATTTATCTCATCTCTTGAATATTGCCAGTTTTGTCTTTTACTCAAGTACTAAGGTGGCGTCCGTTAATTACGTGAGATTTTTTAAAAGGAATGTGGAGCCGAATCTCACCTAATCTCACTTCTGGGCAAATATTACTTTTTTTTTCGCAAGAAACAGTTCAAAATTTCGAAGAAATTGGGTTAATTAAAATAAAATATGTCTAAAACCGAACAAAATTATGCGAACTCCACAAATTATATAAAAATAATTAAGTAACTTATGTTTTTTTTTTTTAAATAAACCCTACACAATCAAACACAGATACTACTGTACGTATTTACACTAAAAGTACGCATTTTAAAAATCTCGTGAGATTTGGGGGGAGGTGGTCAAGTCATATCTCACGACATCTCACCAGGGGGCGGGGGAGGGTAGAAAAATCGCCAACACCAACGCCCCTTTACGTACTTTTTCACATGATATTTGAAATGATCCGCCATGGTAACGGTTGCAGATTCAGACCAACAAAAAAGATATACACCTATATTTTGGGAGATCTCGAAACCATGCACTACTTAATGTAAAAATACAATCACGCACACATCATATACAAGTATATGTGATATGTGTGCGTAATTGAGTGACCTAACACTTTTTTATAGAATTAGGTTGATGATCGTGCAAGTTCACCTGTAATGTAAATGTAATGTAATGTCAGGTAGATGTTCAGTCTCTTAGACATCTACTACATCTATCCTCGATTGTGAATCAAAGAGATCTCATATGAATCAAAATACATTTGCATGACAGCCCGTAGGACTTAAATGGAATGCCTCGTTAAAAATACAAGTGGTACAATTAAAATTTGGACAACCTACTTTAATATAAATAAAATGAGAACATCATCAATGCATTCGAAGTCAATTAAATACTCATTATTAAGAATAACTTTTACTAACTACAGAATAACTATAGAAACTACTTGACAGATCATGATGAAATTTATATGGGACCACATGAGAAGCACCATTTTTCAAATAAACAAAAGAATCATCAAAATCGATTCATCCAGATAAAAATTAAAGGGTAACACACATAAAAAACATACAGCCGAATAGAGTACCGTTTGAACTCGGTTAAAAAAGGGTCACCGGTGCTCTACACTCATCATATGAAATAGCAGCATTATCTGCTATTTTACGTTGTTATTGTATGAGAACGTGGTCCTTTCCCTGTCGAGCCGACCCATTCGTGCTACAACCATAATATATTGCAGCATGGGTCTACCACGTAAAGAATGTCATTGGTTACAAATGAGTTTTGGCGCATCTGTGTAAGTGAGTATTCTTAAAATAACTTAAACATAATCAATAGGAATCAATATTTAACTCAAGTTAATTTTTATCCAATACAATTAAGAAAACACTAACAAACCCGCGTGCACATGCAAATGGACTTTAATTAGTACATGAAGTACGAGTTAGGTCTTCCCCTACTTGAGTAAGGGAAGACCCAAAATTGTATCGTATTGCAGTCGTGACCCTAATACGAGGAACTGGAAAGTCTCATATGCCTTTTATTTCACACACTTTTAGAACTGAAAAAGCAATGCGTGTACACTACGGGTAGACGGACAATTACGCGATATGATTTCAAATTAATTTCATTCTTAAATTACAACATTAGATCCACGGTAGCTCAGGGGCTAAGCGTTCGCTTTGAATTTCACAGTACACGAACTACCCGGGCTCGATCCTTGCCGGTACCAATGAAAACATCGTGAGGAAAACTGCATGTCTGAGAAATAAGAAAAAAAATTTCGAAGACGTTAAGTTCGCCAACATGCGTTGGGGCAGCGCGGTGGACTTTTCCTTGCCCTAAAATACTCTCCGAAGTTTCATTTTCAAATGAATCAGTTTTAACAATGAGACCGTGGGAAGTCTTAAAGTTATCAACGTATTTTTAAGCTGTGTTGTTACTACACTGACGTTCACCCGTTGCGATAGCGGATGTGGTTCGTGAATTGATATGTTATTTTTATATACAATTTTTATAGAATTAGTGTGATGAACAAGCACACAGTTCACCTGATATTAAGTGGGTGCTGTGTGCCCATAGACATCGACATTTATCACTGATATCAAAATGAAGATGCCTCGTCAGCCTTGAGGGCTAAGAATGCCTCATATCCGGTAAAAAAGGTATAATAGTGTACTTATATATATATATATATATATATATATATATATATATATATATATATATATATATATATATATATATATATATATATAAGAGTACTTAGCTTATCAACCGACACACCGACACTAGCTAAGCAGTCAGAGGTGGGTGTCCGCACTCCCCCACTCGGATAGCGGATTAGCGTTAGATAGCTCAAGAGCCATCACAGAGGAAACATGATGATTGGTATCAAGAATCAAATCATAAACCACATTATCGTCTTTCATTACCTTTCTCTTTTTAATCAGCTCCGAGTCGGACGAAGCTGTAAGAGCAGTATAGGTTAATAGCACTAACATCACAGAAAATAGATGATGTCTTTAGCCACAGCACCCACTTACCATAATGTGGACTGTTATTTGTCAGTCTTACTTGTACAAAAAAGGTAAAAGCGTCCAAGTAAAGGCCTATAAGAGTATTTCATTCCAATATTCTTCAATTTCAAGTTGTTTTGGCCAAATATTACGACGTAATAATAATAATAAATTTATTTATAGACATGGCCATTACTAGACATGGTCTGTCTCGTGGAGGGGGGGGGGGGCAAACAAAAGATTTTACAATAGATCAAAGTGCCTAAAAATGTCTTAAAATGTATGAAGAATTACAGACATAACAAATAGATCCTAATTAAAAAGAGCGCGCGTGTACTTGTGGGTGAGTGTGTATGGATGCGAGTTTGCGTATGAGTGTGTGTGCGTGCGTGTGTGCGTGCGTGCGTACGTGCGTACGTGTGTGTGTGTGTGTGTGTGTGTGTGTGTGTGTGTGCGCGCGCGCGCGTGTTTGTGTGTGTGGGTGTGTGTGTGTGTGTGTGTGTGTGTGTGTGTGTGTGTGTGTGTGTGTGTGTGAAGTAAAAGGTTGAGAAATCGCAATTGGGGGTAAGTTTAAGTGGTGAGGTAGCCCTACAATTAAATTCTTGGGATCAGACGGCAGGGCTGGCGCCATTGTTGTCCACTACCGTTTTAACACCTATTTAAGGGTCACCAATATTTGTTCTGTTTTCTCATAGTTCCAAGTCAATAAATAGCTCATTATTTTTATTTTAGCTACATAAAGTTGGGATCGTTTTAAGCCGTATATTAAGTGACTAATTTGTTATGTTGGAAAAGGAGCAGTTTGGAATGATGAGCGAAAGATGTTTTAACCAAGCTTGTGGGGTAAAGATATTAATATTTAATTCGCGACCATCCTCTTAATTAAATACAATGATGCGTCTTACCTGGATTGAAGAGCACCTCCTGCCCTCCCTCAACTGCGTGCACGAATCCCGTCACCACTAATCCAATAATAATAATGGGATTAGTGGTGACGGGATTAGTGCATTTACCATAAAATATTGTTGCTGTATCGTCAGTATAACATACAACCTCACTATTTTCAAGTTCAATTGACATAATGTCATTAATGTATGAAATAAGAGTCAGCCCCAAGATGCTACCCTGAGGAACGCCAAAATCTACAGAGCTAAGATCGTTCGCTTGGTCGCCTATTTGAGCACATTGCTTTCTACCCGACAAATAGCTGGAAAACTAGTTTAAAGGCAGATTACGAATTCCAAGAGCACTTAGTTTCTTAAAGAGGATGGGGGATCGATACCGTGTGGAATGCTTTAGCCAGATCGAGAAAAACACGAACACAGGATCGACCCTGATCGAGATGAGTTACATCCATATCTGTGAGAAGAGTTATTGCATCCTCAGTCGATTTTCCCTGACGGAAACCAAACTGACGGTCCGAGAATATGCTATTATTTTCAAGATAGTTAATCAGCCGCTTATGGACAACGCGTTCCAGGAGCTTAGAGTAACCATCCAGCAGTGTTATGGGTCGATAATTACAGGGATAGTCCTTAGCTCTATTCTTGTATATGGGGATAGCTGCCGCAACTTTCCACTGGCTTGGGAAGACCCCTGACGAGATACTTAAGTTAAATATCGCAGCCAGGGGCTCCGCAATCGTGTGGGCTACTGATTTTAAAAGTTTGTAAGTGATACCGTCTATACCTGGGGCACTACCTGAATCAAGAGACCGGATGAGACATAAAACTTCCTGTTCGTCTGTAAGATCCATGAAAAATGAACCAACGGGTTGATCTAGAATGTGAACTTTTTCGGCAAGGGACTCCTTAGTCTCATTTAATTTCACCATGATAGATAGATAGTTGAGATATAGTATTGGGTTGGGTTACACCACAGAGTAGCTATTATAAAGTAAGCCGAGATATTAATAGTTGTAGCTTATATACGTACCAAAAGATGTTCGTTTATTGCTATAGTACTATATCCTTACCTTACTATAGCTATAGTGTAAACAAAAAAGTTTCAAGTCTATATAATGAAATTACAGCAAATTTTTCTCTACTGTTTGAAATTAAACTTTGAAAATGTTAATGTAAAACAAATACGAATTCTAAATCAATCTATATTCCAACGTTATTAAGAGATCAACAATTGGCAAAATTAGAAAAATTGTACAAGTGACTTCAATATAAATAAAATGAGAACATCATCAATGTAGTCGAAGTCAATTAAATACGGATTATTAAAAATAACTCAAAAACCACTGCTCAGATCTTGATCAATTTTATATGGAACCACATGAGAAGTAAAGCTTTCGAATAAATAAAGAATCATCAATAACGATTCACCTAGAAAAATGTACTGAGGTAACACACGTAAAAAAACAAAGTCGAATTGAGAACCTCCTTTATTGAAGTCGGTTGAAAACATAAGGAAATAGTAGTTTTTCTATTTTTATTTTTGTCATTAGTGGAAAATTACATTATATCATTATAGTTAAAAATTAAATCGGGTGGATATACCTGCCCATATTTTCTTGTCGGTTTTTTTATAGATTGTTAGATTTCTGAACCTGTAATAAGATTTTGAACGTATAATGAGATGGATGAGGCCAGAATTAAGATTAATCTGAATAACAGCAAAGCCACAGGTCTCCTCTCTTTTTAAAAGAAATGAAAATTGCAAGAATAAACAAGAACCATTTGCCTCCCCAGGAACGCAGACGTCCGGACGGCAGGGCGCACTTACGAGTATATGGGAGATGACACTATCTGAGCGACAGAATGCCGCTTTGTTCCTCGAAAATACGACCGCAAGACCATTCGTGTATTGTAGATACTATTTTAAATGTTTTTTCTGTCGGGAGCAGTATTCCGAGCTGAGTGTTCTCCTGAAGCACAGCTCATCACATGTCATGCCCGATTATGTCACAATCCTCAAAGAACTAGTTCCGAAAGGAAAACGCACAGTGAAAGTTGACATTTCCAATCTCAAATGCAAGATTTGCGAACAAAACTACACAGATCTAGACGCAGTACGGAAACATCTGACGGCGGATCACGAGAAAGCTTTCACAGCTTCAGGTAACGGTGTTGTGGCGTACAATTTAACACCAAGGAATGGACAGTTTTTATGTCACATTTGTGATAAAATGTTCCAATCGTTTATACTGCTGAATCGACACATGAACGTGCATTTTAGCAACGCTGTATGCGAAACATGTGGCGCTGGGTTCATGACACACCAGCGTCTAATACAGCACAAAGAAATACACGCGCCAGGAGGATACCCTTGCGGAAAATGCCAAAAGGTTTACACAACAAGCTCAAACTTGAAATACCATATCGAGAAGAGCCATGAAGGCGCTACAAAGATGCGAATGTTGCGCTGTCCCCACTGTCCTGAGCGTTTCACTGAACACTTTAGAAAGCTGAAGCACCTCAAAGATTCTCATGATGTAACGTTCACATTTGAATGCGACGTATGTAAATCTGTTTTCCCTAGTCGCAGAGCCCTGACAATGCACACTAACAAATTCCACACAAAGAAGACGCAATGTAACATTTGCGCAAAAAGTTTTAGTTGCATTACGACCCTGAAGAAACACATGGTTTCTCATACCGGCGAAAGGAACTTCGTGTGTAGGATCTGTCAGAAATCTTACCGCCATCAAAAGAGCTTGAAGCACCATTTGCAAATCCATGTCAATGGAGACAGTAATAAGTTCTTTTGTTCCGAATGTGGAAGCGGATTCTCTACCCGGGATGACTTCAACAAACACGTCAAAGACTGGCATACACGGTGCTTGTTCGATTATGGGGCATGTTAAAAAGTTGCTCTGGTACCTGTATTAACTTATGTTTCTTCAAAGAGGAGTCCTGCTGGTCATAGTGTAAAATAAATAATATAAGGGCAGACTTATCTTCATCAAAATTCTAAATATTTATATATACTGGATGACCTTTTTTACCGTGTGGAAAAAAAATAGTGTGCAACACGTGAACGGAGTAGAAGCCTATGGCACTGATATTTTATAAAAAATAAAAACACTAATAATGAATAAAATAAATAAATTAATTAAAATCTATAGAGTTTCAAATCATATCCACGACGCTACTTTACGAACGGCAATAAATTCAGTAGGTATCTTTTGACCTTGTCACTTCGCAGGCTCAAAGTAATTGTAAATTTTTTTTTTCAAACGTTTAATTCAAAATTTTTGTTTTTCACACACACTTCACTTACTGACACGAGGCTACCTATAAATATAATTAGCGACTCGACCCGACTTCGTCTGAGTAGAGTCTATCAACGTAGCGTTATATAAATTTAAGATTCAAAGATCATTTATATTATACATTTTTATATCTTAAAAAAATCTAAGTTTTTCGGACAAAAAATAAACTAGATCACTACTAGCATTGCTCTCTCTCTCTCTATCTATCTATCTCCCTCTCTATCTATCTATCTATCTCCCTCTCTATCTATCTATCTATCTCCCTCTCTCTATCCCTCTCTCCCTACCTCTCCCTTTCTCACTCCCTCTCTCTATCCCTCCTCTCTCTTTCTCTCTTTCCCTCACTGTACGTGTAGTTTAATTACAATCGGTTTAACTATTTCAGACAGACAGACAAAATTATAAAAATGGTTACTACTGGCAGGCAAATAACCCAAGCTCAATATAAAGAAATATTTTGATACTATAGATACTTAAAACTTAAAGTATCTTAAAATGAATGATACCAGTTAAATTTAGAAAATAATTACATGTTTTTAGAAATATTTTTCTGACAATCTGAAATGTATAACTTTGCAAGATGAAATATGGAAATGTTATACGGGACTTTGTTAAAGGAATATACCGACGCTCTACAACTGTTACAATAAAATTTATGTGAATTTTATGTCCATTCATTGGTCCGAGGACATTGTGAAATTTAGGTTTGGTAAGCTAGAATTTCTTCTTCACATAATTTTATAACTATTTCTGATCTCATTGATAAAATGATAAAATAATTTTGTATCAGTGTGTTAAAGATTTGTATGTATAGTACTAGCACAGTAAATCAAAAACTGTGTCAAAGCTGTGAATCGCGCAGGCGCGGGTTTGGCGGGTCGCTGGCATGATAAATATGCCACGCAGTTATATTCTCATTTACGACATTTACTGTGGCAAATATTAAATAAAGTTAAATTCTTATCTAGAATAACAAAGTCCGCACATAAATAACGACAGCGTTTTCGTAGCCATACTGAACAAAATCCGTGTTGGATTGACGAAACAGCGTTCGCAGTTTACAAAACAAAGGCATACCATACAAGTCTTTACTATGTGTATCTAAAATACATAAGTAATATGAACCTTATGTTTTACTATCATCATAATCAACAGCCTTAAGTCCATTAGAACATATAAGCTTCTTCAAGAATCTACCAGCTAACAAGGATTACTTGGATGCCTATACCTAACAGGGCAAGTTGTTAGATTAATGCAGAGCTTAAACCATTGTAGTGGTTATATTTATACTACTCCCCATAAACGGCTTTTTTATAGAAGTAGCTGTATTGACCTGTAAGCACACAGTCCACCTGATAGTAAGGATATGCTATAGCTCAAAGACACCTACACTACCTATCATCAATTAGGAATCTATATGCTATAATGTTATAATAGAAAAAAGACGAAAAGAGTCTCGTCACTCAACATACAAAACAAAGTTTTTCACCATTGGGTCAAAAGAGTTTCATCAACCCATCACCATCAAGTGATTAATGTACGGGAATACCGCGTTCCCCTTGCATATGTTTAACTCTGGTGATTATCTATGGTTATATTTATATAAAATAAGGGTAACAAAAGAAAGCACACAGTCCACCTGGTGGTAGGTGGATTCTGTGGCCCATAAACATCTACATATATTCTCGATTATGAATCAAAATGCAGATGTGTTATCCCTGCGGACGAAGATAGAATGCCTCGTTTACGAAAGTCTCCAGTTCTCTACCCGAACGAATGTCATGAATGTCACCATAAGAAACACAGCAGCATTAAGCTACTATTTCTCGCTGGAATTCTGTGAAGACGTGTCCCTCCCTAGTCGAATCGACCCATTCGTGCTACAACCATAATTTAGCTACAAGATGGCTCTACCACGTATAACACGGATAAGTCATAGATAATGCTCTAACTAGTGACAGAATAATGTCGTGACTTAGATTGGGACCATGCAACCCTTACAGCCTGTTAAAATCCAATGCTAAACATAAATCTCTACCGTAGATTGCCTCATGGGGTCATTTGCCAAAGTTGCCACGCTTGGCAGGCGGGTTGGCAACCACAGTTTTCGTTTATTATTAGTCTTTATTAGAAAAACGCTGTTGCCCATCTCCTGATTTGATCTGTCGCGAGCACAGTCCACTTACACGTTATTCTCGATTAAGAATCAAATGCAGATGCGTTGTCACCACTGAGAAATAAGGTGGAATGCTTCGTTTCCAGTAAATTGTGTCTCCGGTTCACTACACTCACCATACGAAACACAGTAGCATTAAGTTACTATTGTACGCTGGTATTCTGTGAGAGCATAGTCCTTTCATGTATAGCCACAGAAAAATAAATTTATATTATTAAAATCAACTATTCTACAATCTAGTGTTTAGGTATTCTTATGGTATGGCAAACTTCTTTCTTTTAAACCATGCTACTGGTAAGTTGTGTTTCAAGAAAGTACATTGCATATATAAAGCTGTTTATCAAATCCCTGAAGACTTTTGTTTCTTTCGCAGGCGACAGGGATATCGTAGAGTACAGCGTTTGGCAATTGACAGTCCCAGAAAGGAATAATGCAGCGACATTTATCCAGTACACAACGGTCAGGCCGTTTACGTTCATGGGTTCAACATTCAAGTGCTTTTACTGCATGCAGTACCATTCGGAAGTAGCCAGTTTACTTGAACATACTTCGACTCATCAACTCGACGATAGAAACATAATTCTGAACAAATACATTCCGAGAGGCAAACGAATGATTTTGGTCGATATATCGATTCTAAAATGTCGAATATGTGGGCAACTCTATTCCGATCTGAGCGCGGTCAGACAACATTTGGAATTGGAACACGGCAAGGAATTCTCTCCCGCCAGCAACGGAATGACAGAATACAAGATGGAGATTAATGATGGACTGTTTACATGCCATATTTGCGGAAATACCTATCACAATTTTTCACTCTTGAACACGCATATGAATTGTCATGTTGGTAAAGTAGTATGCGAGAGTTGTGGAGCTGGTTTCTTGAATCAGCACCTCTTGTTGAAACACAAGGAATCGCACATGTCAAAACGCTTTAATTGCAAATACTGCGACAGAGTCTTCTTCAAAAAAAGCCAATTGAAATACCACACCGAGATCGTACACAAAGGCAAGGACAGGGTAAAACTTAAAAAATGCCAACACTGTACCCAAACATTTAAGGAGCACTATAGCAAAATGATGCATCTAAAAGAGGTGCACGGTATTATGAAATCATTTCTATGTCATATTTGTAAAGTTGACTTTGGCACACGGCGCGCTCTGACCGAGCATACGACTAAGTACCACACGGAAAAGTTCAAATGCGAAGTGTGCTCTAAGTGTTTCGGTATTGAGTCCAAATTGAAACAGCACATGCGGGGGCATATTGGAGAGAGGAATTTTATGTGTCCAATATGTAAGAATGCATACATGCACAAAATTTCACTGAAGAAGCACATGCGCAACCATGACACGGTAGACAAAATAGTTTGGTCTGTTGTTCCCGATATGTGAAAAAATACTTTAAAAAATATTTATCCACCGTATCTGACCAAAGACAGAAAGACGGAGCGCTGAGTACATGTCAAGTGATGCAAAAATAATGCTCAATTTATTCTAAGAACTCGCACACACGAACACATATGCATTTACAATCATTTGCAACCAACAATATAGTTTTAGGTGCAAATGTGTGCGTCGAGCAGAGAACTTTTATGGGCTGAGAAAGAAAGAAAATGACATATGTGTGAGCGCGTTGGCATCGCTTGAAATGTACGCAGCGCTCCGTCTATTTTATTTGTTGGTCTGAGTCCGCCATATTTAGTCTATGATATTATTTTCTACTGCTCAAATATATTTTTATTTATGTTAGTTTTTACCTACAAAATATTAAATATTAGTGTTATTAGCAGGTTAAGTGTTTGCATTTAAAGCCTCATTCTAATTATGTACGGGCACAAACACACATGACTGCTTACGTTTGACTGGAGTAACTCTGGTGGGAATCTTTTCCTGTGGGAATTACAGCGTAATTACGTTATATTTTGATTGTAAACCATGGAAGTAATATGTGTTAGCTTTGAGTATTTAACCAAAGGAGACGGCATCGCAAGGCATACTCCTCTCTCAAAGGTACGAGAGTCCGACTCATACCCGTTATATAAAACTAGTAGCTCCGCGTCGTGCGCCATTACGCAATCGTGCTCCGACAAAAATGTCGAAATAATCAAAACCGTCAAATCTACAAAAGAACAATGTGACTTTTCATCTGTGAATACTTTTAACATAATTTTATCGTTAAAACTCATATTTTGTATTGAATTAAAATCTGAGTTTGAATAGTCTTTCAAAAACTGTTCATAATTATATTTACAAATAAAATCATAATTTTATATTACACTAAAAACTCTTCACTGCTGGTCGTACGAGGAAGCTCAAAGTCGCTCAGCGAGCTACGGAGACCAGAACCAGAGAGATCGACATAGCCCAACGGATTAATAAGCTGAAGTGGCAATAGGCCGGCCATATAGCTCATGGAATCGACAACCGATGGGGGGAAAGGTTCTTGAGTGGCAGCCTTGTACCGGTGGGTGAAGTGCAGGGCGACCCCCCAATAGATGGAGTGACGACCTGGTAAGACTTGCAGGAAGTCGATGGATGCAGGTGGATCAGAACCATGCTTTGTGGGTGCCCTCTTGGGGAAAGCCTATGTTCAGCAGCGGACTTGTGAAAGGCTGTAGGTAATGATTGAAAAAAACTAAAAATTAGTTTTACCAACGCTGAACTTATGCGGACTATGATGATTTGTTCATCGATAAAAAATATCGACATAGTATCGTTTTACGTTGCTTAAGCATGTAAACAGCGGCACCGTGTCGGCACGTGTACAATTTGAGTGCATGCGTAAATGCAATGAACACAAACACAAATGCTGTAGTGTGCGTGTCTAGTGACGCCATTCAATTTTGCATTTATAGTGATGTGTACAGTAGTGTGTTTTCCTTGCGTAACATGTGAACGGAGTAGCTTATGGCACTGATTTTTTACAAAAAATAAAAACATTTTTTTATAGCACTTTGTTAAGTAGAGTCGATATGATTTGAATGTCGATAGATTTTAACTAATTTATTTATTTAATTCAAAATTATTGTTTTTTTTTTTATAAAATATCACTGTAATAGGCTTGCACTCCGTTCAGATGTTACATCCTATTTTTTCCATATGGTGAAAATGGTCATCCAGTACATTATTAGCATATATATATATATATATATATATATATATATATATATATATATATATATATATATATATATTGTTTGAGAATGATTGCCTATGTAACTATATTTAATTTTGCTTAGTGACTGAACCAATTACTAATTTGTAGGCAGTGCTCTGATTTTGCGGATTTTTTTTGAACAAAAAATTTTTGGTATTTATTTTTCATACAGTCAGTACCAGCGTTATATATCTACTGTTTTAAAATCCATCATAGAATGACGTCCCCAAGGGACAGGAGGTCGTAAGAAGTGACAATTTCAAAAAGAGAAATCATGGCTTCCGATAGATGGCGTTATTACCAACTCTTTAATGCTAAACGTAAAATACCTAAACTGATCATGAACAGTAGTAAGCAAAGGTGCGAAACTTCCAAACTGCGATTGAAAAAACCGCTTGTCAACGATGACGAATATGGAAAATCTTTCGTACACCGTGAAAATTTAAAACGTCTAATTTCAGTTCGATACACGTGATAAAACCGATCTTTAGATCCCATCACTAGACATATTTTACGTTATTATTTTTTTAATAATAAAGTATTAGAATTAAAGCTGTGGTTTTATTTACAGCTGCCGACAGGGTACGCCCCACGACCAGCATGTGGGCGATGACGTTATCGGAAAGGAAGAACGCAGCAAATCTCTTACAGCACTCCACTATCGTTCCTTTCACTTACCTCTCTTACCCTTTCTCCTTTAAATGTTTCTATTGCACTGAGAGGTACTCAGAGCTGTCGAAACTACTTGAACATGCTAAAACCCATACAGTCCCAGACACAGCTGTGTTGATGAAAGATTTTTTAAAGAAAGGCAAGAAAACTATCAAAGTGGACATGTCCGAATTGAAATGCAAAATTTGTAGCGATTCATTCTCGAATTTGGACGACGTTAGGAAACATCTAAGCTGTGTTCACGACAAAGAGTTTACGGAAGCGGGAAACGGTATTATCGCGTTCAGTTTACAAACGAAGAATGGTGTCTTTTCATGTCACTTGTGTGCAGAGAATTTCCATAGCTTTTTTCTTCTGAATAAACACATCAATGTGCATTACAGTAACGCAATATGCGAGTCGTGTGGCAAAGGATTCGTGTCACATACGAGATTACTACAGCACAAGGAGATCCACCTCACGGGACAGTACCCTTGTGACAAATGCAAAAAGATGTTCACAAGTTTGCCCAAATACAAGTATCATAATGATAGGATTCACAGAAACTCGACAAAGGTAAAGCCGTCGAAGTGCCAGGTCTGCGAAGCGAGATTCGATCATCACTACGAAAAAATTAAACACTTGAAGGACTCGCACGGCATGATGTACAATTATCCCTGTGAGACTTGTAGCGTCGTGTTTGAAACGCGTAAATCGTTGTACTTTCACACTAAGAAATATCATACGCAGAATATTCTATGCGAAGTCTGCAATAAACCGTTCGCTGAACGCAACCATTTGAAAAAGCACATGGCAATGCATACAAAGGCTAGAAACTTTGCGTGTTCTTTGTGCAGCAAGACTTATAGATACGAGAAAAACTTGAAGGACCACATGAGAGTGCATAATCCTGATTGGAAATTCGCTTGCTCGAACTGTTGGGTCGGATTTCAGAGTAAGATTGAATATAGGAAGCATATGACAGAGCTACATACAGAATGATTTGTTACGAAATTTTTTTTAATTTCAAATAAAGTATTAGTCAACTGGTTTATTTAGTTTTCGTTTTAACATTATTCACGTCAGATTCAAAGTTAAGTGAAAATGGGGAGCATACTTATATTTATTTGCTACAGCTATATTACTAGTATATATTAGTAGTATGGGTGCCAATGCATCTGCACTTTAAATCGTAATCGAGGACACGCCATAGACATTTACATCTAGATGTCTATGGGCCACATCAACCACTTGCCACAAACTAATAAGAGTACTAACGTACCACTTGTCATCGGGTGAACTGTGTATTGTATGTTTTACATCTTTATTTATGTTGTAGGTGGATTAATGACATTAAAGAAATAAAACGCAATTACATTGTAATAACCACCGGCAAGGATTAACACCAGAATTATACAATCGCACACAGATTCTGCTTTGCGTCACTGGTCTCACCTTTTTTAACGTTATTAATTCGAATATGTTTTATTTAACACTATCTCCGATGTTAGTAACCGATTAAGCTAATTTTACTGTGGAGCATTCCAGTGATCGCATAACATATTTTAATCAGATTCTGTGACAATCAGGCATCCACGGCTTTTTCTGTGCTCTGGCGGCGCCATTTAGGAATGAGGTGAAATATTTGACAGATTTCATAGCTGGGAAAATTAATACGAAAGTTAATTTGTTCGGAAAATGTAAGGCTTAAATTTCTTTCAGAAATATCAGTTGTACCTATTATATATTCATTATATTAGAAATGAAAAAACCAAACTACGGATTTAGTAATGTTGAGCGCCATAATTAATGTCACTAGCGCCATCTAGTATCAAGTAGCAGAACTAGGAGAGCTTTCTAGAAAATTCCACGCTAGAAATTTCCCACTAGTGCTATCTAGTATCTAGTAGCAGAACTACGAGAGAACTTTCTACACCTAGTTGGTCGGAACCGGTATGTACTCGAACATTCTAGATGTTTCAGCAGAAAAGATCCTATATAAGGCCGGTTTAGACCGCGACCCGGGTCACTATTAGATTGGCAATCAAGCGAACACTACGAAGCGATATAACTGCGAATTGTGTGTATTTATAAGTTACGAGGGTGGATTGAAAAGTACTCGGCCTAACCAAGAAAATAAACACATACTAAATCAGTTATATTTTTATTTTTCTACATAATCACCATCAAGTTTAATACACTTTTGCCACCTCCCCTTGCAAGCATTTAGACCGTTGAAAAAAATGATTCTTCCTTAGAGTCAAAATATGCGTCTACAGCTGCTTTGACCTCGTCGTTTGTCGAAAATCTTTGACCTCCCAAGTGCTTTTTTAGGTTAGGGAACAGAAAGAAGTCTGATGGTGCCAGATCAGGTGAATACGGCGGATGCGGTAACAGTTCAAAGCCACAGTTGTGAATTTCAGCCATTGACTGTACTGACGTGTGAACACGGGCGTTATCTTGATGAAACAGGACTTTTCTTCTGAGCATTCCTCGACGTTTTTCTTTTATTTCCTCTCGTAAACGATGTAGTAAGGTGCAGTAGTAATCAGAGTTTATAGTCTGACCTCTTTCAAGATAATCAATCATAATCACACCTTTCGAGTCCCAGAATACTGAAGCCATCACCTTATTTGCCGACAAAATCGACTTAGCCTTTTTAGGGGGTGGTGAACCAGGTCTTCTCCACTGTTTTGATTGTTGTTTTGTTTCCGGTGTACAGTAATGAACCCATGTTTCGTCCATAGTAACAAAACGATTCAAAAAATCATCTGCATCGGCTTCAAATAACTCTCTCTCTTCAAATAACAGTCGCGTGAAATAGTCAATCGCGTCCTTTTTTGTTCAACTGAAAGCAGTCGCGGAACCCACCTCGCAGACACCTTGTGGAAACCCAACTCGTTGACAATGATGTTTTGAGTTCGTTCATAAGAGATGCCTATAATCTCGGCTATCTCTCTAATTTTTAATCGGCGGTCTCCCATTATTAAATCAAGTACTTTTTTTAATATTTTCGTCAGTAGTTGACGTCGAAGGCCTTCCAGAGCGGGGTTCATCTTTCACACTCTCTCTACCACGCTTAAATTCTGCTATCCATTTTTTGACGGATGAATATGACAGAGCACAATCGCCTAACTACTGACCATGTCATCACGGATGGCTTTTGATGATAGCCCCTTCTTATGGATGTACTTAATGACGGCACGCTGCTCGATTTGCTCCATTCGCGGAAATTATGTCCGATTACTTTGTTAATAAATTTATAAAATCACAACTAATTATCGCACACGTTTCGAACTTCACACAATGAACTAATCTGAACTGAACTAAATAATGTGGGTAGATTTGATTTTTAGAATTGAATGGATCTGTGTTAGGCCGAGTACTTTTCAATCCACCCTCGTATAATTGGTGTTCGATAATTAAAGGGTCCATCTTAGTAATTCAATCGGTAGCTTTTATTGTCACGAACCCCAAGCTCGTAACAGTAATATCCGAAAGTTTAGTTTAGTTTAGTTCAGTTAGGTGGAAAAATAAAGTTAAAAATGTGCAAAAACTTAAAGAATAAACTACTGAGGCCTTTTTTATGTATTTACAAACCAAGAAACCGATTAACGTTTATTTAAAACAGAATTTCTTAATTAAACGTAAATTGTGTTACAAATAAGTTCACCTCAACCTCGACTAGCGACATTTGGTGAACGTAAATTAGTCCTCATTGATTGAACATGTTTTTTTTTTAATTTATCACATTGTCTTTTTTTAGGGGCCACATTGGTAATACGACGTAGTGACATTGAGCCAAAAGCGAAAATAGTTCTCGTCCACCAAACGCCACAACGACGAAACGCCGAACTGATACTCAAGCATTCCACAGCGTACCCTTTTAAGACACGTTTTAGTCAAATACTCTGCGCATACTGTCACACTGAATACGAATTTTTGCCCCAATTGAAGATCCATATGGAGAATGACCACGCGAATGCAGATTTCGGAAAGGTTTTCTGTAGAATGAAAGGTAATTTAATAAAAGTTGACATCAGCGATCTAGAGTGTAAGATTTGTTGCCGAAGTATCCGAGATGTGGATACATTGATGCGCCATTTTGCGCAGGACCACGACATGCCGGTGAAATTCAACGCGTGCTACGGCGTTCTACCTTACAAGTTATCAAACGACAGTAAATGGATATGCGTTTTCTGTGACAAAACCTATGCGGCTTTTATAGACTTTAAGCGGCACATTACAACGCATTTTATGAATTATAACTGCGACAAATGCGGCACTACTTTCATCTCGTGTCACGCTCTACGAGAACACCAACGGCAGGTGAAATGTCACCGCATCGCGTACAAGCCACGCAATGGACGCGCGATGAGACCTCGAAGCAACGCAGAGATCATCCTACAGTGTTCGTCGGCTTACCCGTTCAGAACGTGGATGAGCAATTTGAACTGTGTTTTCTGCAGGGTCAAGACTAGAGATCCGGTCGTCTTCCGTAACCATATGGCGTCGCAGCACGAGTCTTACGACGTGCAAGCCGCATTCTACAAAAAACTTGGCAAAGCCTTTTTAAATGTTGACATAACGAATCTACAATGCAAGCTATGTTTTATGTCCATTGACAACTTTGAAGACTTGATCGGGCATTTGAAGAATGACCACCAACAACCGATCAGGTCGGACGCACAGTTTGGCGTGTTGCCATTCAAGCTGAACGATGGTTCGGCTTGGAAGTGTGCGATGTGTACCAACCAATTCAAGGATTTTATGTCACTGAAGAAGCACACGCAAAGTCACTTCCAGAATTACGTTTGCGACACATGTGGTGAGGGCTTCATCACGGAGTCCGCTATGATAGCGCACACTAAGATACCCCACGAAAATAGGTATAATTGTGGTCGGTGTATCGCCACCTTCTCCACTCTGGACGAGAGGAACTCCCACGTTAAAACTCAGCACACGTCAACCCGTTACGTATGCGTCTACTGCATAGACAAGCCACGTTTCGCGACCTGGGAAATTAGGAAAAAGCATTTGCTTGAAGTTCACAACTATGGTACGGGCGGCGACAGTTACGAATGTACCATTTGTCAGAAGTCGTTCAAGTCTCGCTCCGGGAAGTACAATCACATGGCGCGGATTCACCGCGTCATCAAGGATTCCGAATTGAGTTACACGTGCGGGAGTTGTTCTAGAGCGTTCACCAGCCAGTTGTTTTTGGATAAACACATCGCGAAGAAACATATCGACTCATAAAAAGTTGTCTTTATATACAAGTCTATGACGTGACTTATAGGTCTTTTGCCATCCGGGTATGTTTAAATAAAATTCAAATTAAAATTTTTATCTTTATTATAAAATGGTTTAACTGCCTCGTTGATCGTGGTGATTGTAAACGTGACTGATGATCTTTTGAATCATTATCAGTTCTTTTTTTATTATAGAATATAAAGGTAAAGGACATACGTAGGACACTCATTAAGTTTTGGGATATACAAAAAGTGTTCTAGATACTGTTAATATTTATTTTACATCTTTTCAAAATATTCTCCATCATGCTCTATACAAAGTTCCATTCGCCTAAACCAACTCTGAAAACACTTTTGCCAGTCTTGATCTCACAGGTCGGAAATCGCTTCTTCGTAGGCAGCCACGGCTTCTTCGAAGCTTGAAAAAACTTTCCTTTTATTTTTTCTTTGACTCTTGTAAAACAAAAAGAAATCACAAGGAGCTAAGTCAGGGCTGTAGGGTGGACTTTGAGTTTTAACACCAGATTCCTTAATAAACGCTTTTGTTCTAAGGGAGGTATGTGAAGAGGTTTTATCGTGATGCAACATGATTCCCCGACGCCCGGGCTTTGGTCTTCTCTACCTCACAGCTTGAAAAGCTTTGAGTCCGATGAGCGGCCAACGCTCCGTGTAGTACACGTAGGTACAAAGTTATTTTATACTGGTGATCTTTTTTACCGTCTGCAAAAACATTTTGTGTAACATGTGAACGGAGTAGTTTTCACAGATATTTTACAAAAAATAAAAACAAAAATTTTGAATTAAATAAATAAATTAATTAAAATCTATGGAAATTCAATTCATATCCACCCTAGCCTGTGACCCTGCGAACAAGGTCAATGATGCCTACTAAATTTATTGTTTTATTGTCGTTCATAAAGTAGGGTCGGTCTTTCAGCGCTTTACAGCACCCATGGGCACGGGGGGACTGAAACGTTGGGTATTTAAAAAGTTAAATATACGCGATAAAATCCGTAAAAACTAGTATTTTAAAATGTGTAGTGTTCGCGTAAATACAAGAAATCATTAGAGTGGATATGATTTGAATTTCGATAGATTTTAATTAATTTATTTATTTCTAAATTTTTGTTTGTATTTTTTGTAAATATCGGTGCCATAGACTTCTACTCCGTTTAAATGTTACACCCTATTTTTTTCCAGCCGGTAAAAAAACCTCATTCAGTATATTTCGGCGTACTTGAAAAACTTCGGAATTTTAATAGCGTGATTTAGCCTTAGGTGCGTTTATCTTGTGGCCGAATATTTTCAACTGATGATAAGCGGATGCTTTTTATATAAAATTAAAGTGAAAATATAATTCACAGTCTAGCCGATGGTGAGTGGCTACTGCAGTCCGTGGATGCAAGCAACTAACTACAGACCCCTGAGGACTAAGATGGAATCCCGCACACTGTGTCTAATTATACTGGCTCTCTGTAGGCTTGAAACTGGCAACAATGCAGTGTAGAAACTTTTACTCGCGGCAACAATAAGTTAGAATGTGAACCTACGCAGATGGACTCCTAGGTAGGACAGGAATTTCATCACCTGGTATTTTTAGTTTAATTACATTTATCCTAATTTCGTGGTAACAACACACCTATGTATAATCTATATAGAAGTAAGCGTGAAGATGATGTTGCGACCAGGATTAGGAAAGGAATGCTTCGGTGGTTTGGTCATGTAGAAAGAATGAATGAGGAAAGAGTCATCATTATCATCATTACAGCCCTTCACAAGTCCACTGCTGAACGTAGGCCTCCCCCAAGTAACACCACAAAGCACGGTCCTGAGCCACCTGCATCCATCGACTTCCTGCATGTCTTACCAGGTCGTCACTCTATCTGGTGGGGGATCGCCCTACACTACGCCTACCGGTACGAGGCTGCCAGTCGAGAACCTTTCTTCCCCATCGGTTATCGGTTCTTCGAGCTATATGGCCGGCCCATTGCCACTTCAGCTTACTAATCCGTTGGGCTATATCGGTAACTCTGGTTTTACTGCGGATATCCTCATTTCTGAGTCTATCACGCAGAGAAACTCCGAGTATAGCCCTCTCCATAGCTCGCTGAGCGACCTTGAGCGTCCTCTTACGGCCAGCAGTGAAGGACCACTTCTCAGATCCGTAAGTCATCACTGGCAACACGCACTGGTTGTACACTTTAGTTTTCAGAGATTGAGGTATACCTGACGAGAAGATGTGTCGTAATTTCCCGAACGCTGCTGCCCAGCCGTGTTGAATCCGTCGATTGACCTCTCGGTCGAAGTTGGACTTACCTAGTCGGACTATTTGTCCCAGGTAAACGTACTCGTCAACAACTTCGAGCATAGTGCTCCCAACAACTACCGGCATAGGTGTGACATGGACATTAAACATGATCTTTGTTTTGTCCATGTTCGTCTTAAGACCTATCCGTTGGGAGACACCATTGAGGTCATTGAGCATAGTGCTAAGGTCCTCCAGCGATTCTGCCATAAGGACTATATCGTCGGCAAATCGAAGGTGAGTTATGTACTCGCCATTGATGTTAATACCATATCCTTTCCAGTACAGTAGCTTGAAAACGTCTTCCAATGCAGCGGTGAAGAGTTTCGGGGATATAACGTCACCCTGTCTTACACCTCTCTGCAGTTGGATAGGTTTCGAACTCTGGTTCTGTACTCGGATAGCCATCGTAGCCCTACTGTACAAACACTTCAGCACTTCGATATACCGACAGTCAACTTGGCACCGCTGAAAGGATTGTAGCACCGCCCAAATTTCGACGGAATCAAAGGCTTTCTCATAGTCCACTTACGCCAGGCAAAGTGGCAGATTGTACTCTTCGGTCTTCTGCACAATCTGCCGCAGGGTATGTATGTGGTCTATGGTACTGAAGCCTTTTCGGAAACCGGCTTGTTCGGAAGGCTGGAAGTCGTCGAGTCTGAGAGAGGAAAGAGTGAGAAAGTAAATTTATGTTGCAGAAGTGAACAGAAGACTCGGAAAGGGTCGTCATAGGCGAAAGTTTATCGACCAATAAGCGATATATATATATATATATATATATATATAAAATTGGCCGATAGATAAAGCGATATATATGTAAAATGGGCCAAATTAAGAGTACCCTTAACCGACGAGCATGTATGTGTAGGTACCTATATGGATGTAAAGAAGGCGAGCGAGGTGTGTCAGGATCGTGCCAAATGGAAGTCTGTAGTCTCTGCCTACCCCTCTGTGTGACAGGCGTGAGTGTTTATGTGTTTATATTTATAATGTATTTAAAGAGTGAAGAAAAATGGATGCTGTAGCCAACAGATAGGTTCCTATTTATGTTCGTTTTAAAAATTAAAATGCACATGCGTTGTCACTGAGGATTAATATGATGCCGCGTGTGTGTTAATAGTATAACAAGTGTTCTTTTAAAAACAGTTGCCCCGTTCTATCACAAGTTATATGTGCACCATAAATAATATTCGAAAAAGGGAATATGCGTCTAATATGAGTTATACAATACACGACCTTATAGCTACAATAAGGTATTGTATTGTAGAACTCACTCTGTTACTCTTTAAGGTCCGCCCCATACATACGGAATTCCGTTTCGGAATTTCGATTCAGGATTTCGAACGCAGCAAGTCCATATAAAATCAAGGACCCGTTACACACCTACGGTAGCTTTCCTTTCTAAATTTTGCGGGCAAACGGAATTCCGTATGTAGTGTGTGCCTAATACTCTATCAGTCTATACGCTGGACTTACTCTATTCGAAGTTTTGACAATAGACAATGTACGCAAATAAAACTATCATTCAGTTCATTTTGTTTCATTACCAGTGCCTGAATATACATAACTAGTTAAAAGGAAGTGAATCAATAATTTAAGACACATAATTTTCTAAAAACTGCGATGACTTCGTTTTTTTTTTTTTTTTTTTTTTTTTTTTTTATAGAAGAGGGGGCAAACGAGCATGTGGCTCACCTGATGTTAAGTGACTACCGCCGCCCATGATCAACCGCAACACCAGGGGAATTGCAGGTGCGTTGCCGGCCCTTTAGAAAGGAGTAAGCTCTTTTCTTGAAGGTCCCCAGGTCGTATCGGTCCGGAAAAATCACCGGTGGTAAATTATTCCACAGAGAGGTTGTACGCGGAAGAAAACTCCTTTTGAAACGTACAGTGATGGACCGCCAAGTATCCAGATGGTGTGGATGGTATCGGGACGTTTGCCGTGTAATGCGTTCACGAAATTTGGCGGCTGGGATTAATCCGAACAATTCCTCAGAGCACTCCCCGTGATAGATGCGATAAAATACGCAAAGAGATGCAACATCTCTTCGCAGCGCCAGTGAATCGAGCCGATCGGAAAGCACTCGGTCGTCGACGATTCGAGCCGCTCTGCGCTGGATGCGGTCAAGTGGAAGGAGCTGGTACTGGGGAGCCCCAGCCCAGAGATGGGAACAGTATTCCATGAGCGGCCGAACCTGCGCCTTGTAAAGTAGCAGGCGGTGTGCCGGCATGAAATACTGTCCCGCTCTACTGAGCACGCCAAGCTTTTTAGAGGCCAATTTGGCCTTCCCTTCCAAGTGACCACGAAACTGCACGTCACTCGATATGTCGACGCCGAGGATTCCGATACTGGCTGAGGCAACAAGGGGGAGTGCCTTGAAACTGAGGGGATACGACAAAGGGGTTCTTTTTAGCGGTTAACGCGCAAACTTGTGTCTTCTGGGGGTTAAACTGGACTAGATTTAGTCGCCCCCAATCCGAGACTCTGTCCAGCAGAGACTCGACTTCAGACACAAGTTTGTCCCGGCACTCAGAGACGTTTTCCCGAGAAATATTTGCTCGGCCGGTGTAAAGAGCATCACCAGTGCTGTCATCTGCATAGCAATGAATGCTACGGGTTTGCAACATATCATTGATATGCAGAAGAAACAGCGTTGGCGATAGCACGCAGCCCTGTGGAACACCAGCATTAATAAGCTTGC